CTAAACCAGGACTAAACCAGGATTAAACCAGGACTAGAGCAGAACTAAACCAGAACTAAACCAGGATTAAACCAGGACTAAACCAGGACTAAACCAGGACTAAACCAGGATTAAACCAGGACTAAACCAGAACTAAACCAGGACTAGAGCAGAACTAAACCAGGACTAAACCAGGACTAAACCAGGATTAAACCAGGACTAAACCAGAACTAAACCAGGACTAAACCAGAACTAAACCAGGCTTAAACCAGGACTAAACCAGAACTAAGCCAGGACTAGAGCAGAACTAAACCAGGACTAGACCAGGACTAGACCAGGACTAAACCTTGACCCGGGCTGTGGTAGCGGTGAGTTGTTGTGTACCTGTGTCTGCTGTGGTCTCGTCGTCCTGGTCTGGGGTCCTGTAGACGCAGCGAGGCTCCAGGGGCAGGTCTTTGGGTTTGGAGCTGCAGATGTCAGGGACAGAGACAGAGACGAGGGGGAGGAGGGCGAGGAAGAGGAGAGACGCACACACACACACACACACACACACACACACACACACACACACACACACACACACACAGAGAGAAAACGAGAAAAAGAGAGATGAGAAAAAGATGTAAACAGATCCTGGGATTGTGGCTCACACTTCCACTGGACACATTTTCACTGAGGAGATTTGAAAAGTCTGAAAACTAAACTCACTCAAAGGTGTAAACATTGTGTATTTAAAGTTTTATTTTCCTCATTTTTATATACTTTTTTTTATATACTATGGACCAGATATTATGTGTTCTTAATAAAGATTGAATTGAATTATTCTAATTATAGTGTGATAAATAAAATTCATTAATCACTGGAGTTCTACAGCGCCTTTCAACACTCCCAGAGCTCTCTACAGTGCAGCTTTATTTGTACTCAGTAGGGATGGGCATGATTAATTGATTAATCGATAACTGATCATTAAGAATTTCATCGATTACGTTCATTTTAATCGACAAACCGAATGTATGTTGCTGTGTGTGTCGTGACCAAACAGGTGTGTACATGTGTCTCTGCATCAGAAGGAGCGAGACACAAAACAGTGGGTCAGTCTGTAACGAACCGAAGCACACAAATGTGGATTTAACCGATGATTTGTAGAAGAAATTCCACACTTTCCGTTGCGTTCGGGACAAGTGTGAGTCCATGTGCACAGTGTATAAAGCAGCACACATATGTTTCTGTGTCCAGTGGGGAAAAAGTTTTACCAGGTGAGAGTCGCTCAATGTGGATGACGAGGCCCCCCCCCCCCTCCCCCCGTACGCTGTCCTGGTTTTGACAAACGCAAATCTGGTCACACTAACCTGTATTCACCTGAGTCATGTCTTTTAATCCGACAGAAAGTTGAACCACATCAGCGACACAAGAGCTGGAGTTTTATCTTCACTGAGTTTATGCAAATTAGTGATGTGGTTTTAAGTTTTGTTTCTGTGAGATTTGAACAAAACTGAATTAAACACATTATAATGTCAAACGGGCTGATGTGGCTCTAGAGTCGTTACGGTTTATATGTCGTAAAGTTGAATTTATTTATGCAGATTAGTAGTGCAGATAGTAATAATAATGATGATCATTTTAATATAAAAACGTTAATGATTAATCGATAATCGACCGTTAATTCTTCCGACGATCGATTAAGAAAATTTCATCGAATGCCCGTCCCTAGTAGTCAGTAGTAGTAGTAGTTTATTTTCTTCGATCAATTAACATAATCATACATCATATAACAATGATTTAACAAAAACCAAATTCTGCAGTTAATGCGTATCAATAAGGTTATTCTATCGATCGAAGGGATTTAGGCTGAAGTTCAACACTTGTTTTGCCAAAACCTTATGAACATGAAGAACAGGAGACAAGACACAGAACTATTTACAGAAAACAACCAAAAACTCCTCTTTATGAGAGCAGGAAAGGAAATGTCCCTAAATCTTTTACTGTGCACATAAACAGTGTTGGGGAGTAACAGATTACATGTACCAGAGTTATGTAATCAGAGTACAAATGATGAGTAACTGTATTCAGTTACAGTTACTGTTTCAGTGAGTGGTAATTGGATAAACCAGGACTACAGTTAAACCAGGACTACTTTGTGGGACTGACTAAAAGGATAAACCAACTAAAACCAGGACTTACAGGATTAAACCAGGACTAAAACCAGGTTTACCAGGACTAAAACCAGGACTAAACCAGGACTGGAAAAAGGACTAAACCAGGACTAAAACCAGGACTAAACCAGGACTAAAACCTAGGACTAAAAACCAGGACTAAAACTAAACAGGACTAAACCAGGACTAAAACCAGGACTAAACTAAACCAGGACTAAAACCAGGACTTAAAACAGGACAGGATAAACTAAACCAGGACTAAAACCAGGACTAAAAACCAGGGACTAAAACCAGGACTAAACTAAACAGGATTAAACCAGGACTAAACCAGNAACCAGACTTCAAGACTAGGCAGAACTAAACCTAAAGCCAGACTATAACCAGGACCAAACCAGGACTAAACCAGGACTAAAACCAGGGACAAGATCAAGACTAGAGCAGAACTAAACCAGACTAAACCAGGACTAAACCAGGACTAAACCAGGACCAAACCAGGACTAAACCAGGGACAAGACCAAGATTAGAGCAGAACTAAACCAGGACTAAACCAAACTAAACAACTGACTAAACCAGGAATAAACCAGGACTAAACCAGGACCAAACCAGGACTAAACCAGGGACAAGATCAAGACTAGAGCAGAACTAAACCAGGACTAAACCAGGACTAATCCAGGACCAAACCAGGACTAAACCAGGGACAAGATCAAGACTAGAGCAGAACTAAAACCAAGATTAAACAGGACCCAGGACTAACCAGGACTAAACCAGGGACAAGATCAAGACTAGAGCAGAACTAAACCAGGACTACTAACCAGGAAACCAGGACTAAACCAGGACTAGACCAGGGACAAGATCAAGACTAGAGCAGAACTAAACCAAGATTAAACAGGACTAAACCAGGACTAAACCAGGACAAACCAGACTAAACCAGGACTAAAGGGACAAGATCAAGACTAGAGCAGAAACTAAACCAGACTAAACCAGGACTAATCCAGGACTAAACCAGGACCAAACCAGGACTAAACCAGGACTAGACCAGGGAACAAGATCAAGACTAGAGCAGAACTAAACCAGATTAAACCAGACTAAAGCCAGGACTAAACCAGGACAAACCAGGACTAAACCAGGACTAAAACAGGACAAGACCAAGATTAGAGCAGAACTAAACCAGGACTAAACCAGGACTAGAGCAGAACTAAACCAGGACTAACCAGGATTAAACCAGGACCAAACCAGGACTAAACCAGGACTAAACCAGGACTAAACCAGGATTTAAACTCCAGGACAAACCAGGACTAAACCAAGACTAAACCAGGACTAAACCAGGACTAAACCAGGACTCAAGACCAGAACTAAACCAGGGACTAAACCAGGACTTGAAAACCAACAAGATCAAACAGGACTAAACCAGGACCAAACCAGGACTAAACCAGGACTAAACCAGGGACAAGATCAAGACTAGAGCAGAACTAAACCAAGGACTAAACCAGGACCAAACCAGGACTAAACCAGGGACAAGACCAAGACCAGAACTAAACCAGGACTAAACCAGGGGACTAAACCAGGACTAAACCAGGAGACTAAACCAGGACTAAACCAGGACTAAAAACAAAGGACTAAACCAGGACAAGATTAAACCAGGACTAAACCAGGACTAAACCAGGACTAAACCAGGACACCAGACCAAGACTAGAAGAGACAGCCAACTAAACCAAGGACAAGAGCCAGGACTAAACCAGGACTAAACCAGGACTAAACCAGGACTAAACCAGGACTCAAGACTAGAGCAGAACTAAACCAGGACTAAAACCAGGACTAAACCAGGACTAAACCAGGACTAAACCAGGATTACTAACCAGGACTAACCAGGAACAAACAGGGACTAAACCTAGAGCAGACTAAACCAGGACTAAACCAGGATTAAACCAGACTAAACCAGGATTAAACCAGGACTAAACCAGAACTAAACCAGGACTAGGAGACTAAACCAGACTAAACCAGGACTAAACCAGGACTAAACCAGGATTAAACCAGGACTAAACCAGAACTAAACCAGGACTAAACCTAAACCAGGGACTAAACCAGGACTAAACCAGGGACTAAACCAGACTAAACCAGATTAAACCAGGGACTAAACCAGGACTAAACCAGGATTAAACCAGGACTAAACCAGGATTAAACCAGGACTAAACCAGAACTAAACCAGGACTAGAGCAGAACTAAACCAGGACTAAACCAGGACTAAACCAGGACTAAACCAGGACTAAACCAGAACTAAACCAGGACTAAACCAGGACTAAACCAGGACTAAACCAGGACTAAACCAGGACTAAACCAGGACTAAACCAGGACTAAAACCAGACTAAACCAGGACTAAACCAGGATTAAACCAGGACTAAACCAGGATTAAACCAGACTAAAACCAGAACTAAACCAGGACTAAAGCAGAACTAACCAGACTAAACCAGGACTAAACCAGGATTAAACCAGGACTAAACCAGAACTAAACCAGGACTAAACCAGGACTAAACCAGGACTAAACCAGGACTAAACCAGGATTAAACCAGGACTAAACCAGGATTAAACCAGGACTAAACCAGACTAAACCAGGATTAAACCAGGGACTAAACCAGGACTAAAACCAGGACTAAACCAGGATTAGAGCAGAACAAAACCAGGACTAAACCAGGATAAACCAGGATTAAACCAGGACTAAACCAGACTAAAACCAGGACTAAACCAGGACTAAACCAGACTAAACCAGGACTAAACCAGGACTAAACCAGGACTAAACCAGACTTAAACCAGGACTAAACCAGGACTAAACCAGGACTAAACCAGGACTAAACCTGGTGAGTTGTTGTGTACCTGTGTCTGCTGTGGTCTCGTCGTCCTGGTCTGGGGTCCTGTAGACGCAGCGAGGCTCCAGGGGCAGGTCTTTGGGTTTGGAGCTGCAGATGTCAGGGACAGAGACAGAGACGAGGGGGAGGAGGGCGAGGAAGAGGAGAGACGCACACACACGCATCCTGAACACACACACACACACACACACACACACACACACACACACACAGAGAAAACGAGAAAAAGAGAGATGAGAAAAAGATGTAAACAGATCCTGGGATTGTGGCTCACACTTCCACTGGACACATTTTCACTGAGGAGATTTGAAAAGTCTGAAAACTAAACTCACTCAAAGGTGTAAACATTGTGTATTTAAAGTTTTATTTTCCTCATTTTTTTATATACTTTTTTTATATACTATGGACCAGATATTATGTGTTCTTAATAAAGATTGAATTGAATTATTCTAATTATAGTGTGATAAATAAAATTCATTAATCACTGGAGTTCCACAGCGCCTTTCAACACTCCCAGAGCTCTCTACAGTGCAGCTTTATCTGTACTCAGTAGGGATGGACATGATAAATCGATAATTGATCATTAAGAATTTCATCGATTACGTTAATTTTAATCGACAAACTGAATGTATGTTGCTGTGTGTATCGTGACCAAACAGGTGTGTACATGTGTCTCTGCATCAGAAGGAGCGAGACACAAACAGTGGGTCAGTCTGTAACGAACCGAAGCACAAATGTGGATTTAACCGATGATTTGTAGAAGAAATTCCACACTTTCCGTTGCGTTGGGACAAGTGTGAGTCCATGTGCACAGTGTATAAAGCAGCACATATGTTTCTGTGTCCAGCGGGAAAAAGTTTTACCAGGTGAGAGTCGCTCAATGTGGATGACGAGGCCCCGCCCCCCTCCCCCCGTACGCTGTCCTGGTTTTGACAAACGCAAATCTGGTCACACTAACCTGTATTCACCTGAGTCATGTCTTTTAATCCGACAGAAATTGAACCACATCAGCGACACAAGAGCTGGAGTTTTATCTTCACTGAGTTTATGCAAATTAGTGATGTGGTTTTAAGTTTTGTTTCTGTGAGAGTTGAACAAAACTGAATTAAACACATTATAATGTCAAACGGGCTGATGTGGCTCTAGAGTCGTTACGGTTTATATGTCGTAAAGTTGAATTTATTTATGCAGATTAGTAGTGCAGATAGTAATAATAATGATGATCATTTTAATATAAAAACGTTAATGATTAATCGATAATCGACCGTTAATTCTTCCGACGATCGATTAAGAAAATTTCATCGAATGCCCATCCCTAGTAGTCAGTAGTAGTAGTAGTTTATTTTCTTTGATCAGTTAACATAATCATACATCATATAACAATGATTTAACAAAAAACAAATTCTGCAGTTAATGCGTATCAATAAGGTTATTCTATCGATCGAAGGGATTTAGGCTGAAGTTCAACACTTGTTTTGCCAAAACCTTATGAACATGAAGAACAGGAGACAAGACACAGAACTATTTACAGAAAACAACCAAAAACTCCTCTTTATGAGAGCAGGAAAGGAAATGTCCCTAAATCTTTTACTGTGCACATAAACAGTGTTGGGGAGTAACAGATTACATGTACCAGAGTTATGTAATCAGAGTACAAATGATGAGTAACTATTCAGTTACAGTTACTGTTTCAGTGAGTGGTAATTGGATTACAGTTACTTTGTTGAAATAAATGGATTACACAGAGGGATTTTACTGTTTTCACATTTTGGACTAAACCAGGACTAAACTAGGATTAAACCAGGACTAAAACCAGGACTAAACTTGGACTAAAACCAGGACTAAACCAGGACTAAACTAGGATTAAACCAGGACTAAAACCAGGAGTAAACTTGGACTAAACCAGGACTAAAACCAGGACTAAACTTGGACTAAAACCAGGACTAAACCAGGACTAAACTAGGATTAAACCAGGACTAAACCAGGACTAAACTTGGACTAAAACCAGGACTAAAACCAGGACTAAACTAGGACTAAAAACCAGGACTAAAACCAGGACTAAACTTAGGACTAAAACCAGGACTAAACCAGGACTAACAACTAAACAGGACTAAAACCAGGACTAAAAACCAGGACTAAACCAGGACTAAAAACCAGGACTAAACCAGGACTAAACATGGACTAAAACCAGGACTAAACCAGGACTAAACTAGGATTAAACCAGGACTAAAACCAGGACTAAACCAGGACTAAACCAGGACTAAACCAGGGCGAAAACCAGGACTAAAACCAGGACCAAACCAGGATTAAACCAGGATTAAACCAGGACTAAAACCAGGATTAAACCAGGACTAAACTAATACAATATGACACCAACAGTAGTGTGGACGTAATTATGACCTCATATAAAAATCATTTTTCTATCAATAATATTTTTAATCTGGTCAAGTAAAGACTGAACAAACATGAATTTTTCAGGATGTTGTTGTTACATTCACGTAGTTTTAAAAAACATGACAATATCAAGTAATCCAAAGTATTCAGATTACATTAGTCACTTTAAGTAATTTAATGGATTACGTTACAAACTACATTTTGGGGTGTGTAATCTGTAATCTGTAGGAGAAAACATTTTAAAAATAACTTTCCCAACACTGAGTAGAGCCAAGTGACAGTGGTACAGGAGATACTCACACACAAGACTAGAATTTTAATATATAAGTCGCAGGAAACACCCAAACCATGAAAAAAGTGCAACCTGTAGTCCGAAAAATACACAACTTCTTATCCTGTTTGACCTTTTCTTATAAAGACGTGCTGTTTGTTTGTGCAGTGAGCATCGTACGAAAAGTAAACAATATTATATCATTAATCAGTTAATCAAATAAACTATCAGATACTGTACGTGTGTTTTCTACTGGACCACACTTTTAGACTGGATTAAAAAATCAAGTATTTTCACTAAAAACATTGAATAAAGCGAGTTTTTAACCGCCACAGATACAATAAACGAAAATAAAAATGTTTAAAGTGCGTGTCGTTTTGAGTGGACGACGGAGTGTAAGGGTCAGATACAAAAAAAAACATGCTGGAGCTACGAGAATAAAGTCATAACATTTCGACATTAAAGTCGTAATTTTACGAGAATAAAGTCGAAGTTAAAATAAAGTTAATATTATGAGAATAAAGTTATAATATTACGAGAATGAAGTCGTAATAAAATCAAAGTCAAAGTGAAAAATGCGGCAGAAGAAGAACCTTGTTTGTCAATATAAAACCAAAAATAAGAAAACGAACAACAATTTATTGCGCCTCCAGACTGAACCAGAACTAAACCAGGACTAAACGAGGTCCGAGACCAGACCGGCACTGAGACCAGGACTTAGACAAGGACTGAGTCAGGGACCAAGACTGAGACCGGGATCAGACAAGAACTGAGACCAGGATTGAGACCGGGAACAGGACCAGGACTGAGACTGGGACTGAGACCAGGACCAGACCAGGACTGAAAACGGTTTAGTCCTGGTTTCAGTCCTGGTTCAGTCCTGGTTCAGTCCGTATGTGGTGCAATATTCCCGCATCGCATTTTAAAGTCACGGAAACGTCATTTCCCATTTCCGTGACTTAAACCAGGACTAAACTAGGACTAAACCATTTTCAGTCCTGGTCTGGTCCCGGTCTCAATCCTGGTCTTTCTGGTTTGGCTCTGGACCTGATTTAGTCCTGATTCAGTCCTGGTTCAGTCGAATGAACGAATGAATACACAGATTCTTCTCCTTTACAAAATGCTCCAAATTCTCCATTCTCCACTCGTTCAGACTTTCCGAGCCGCCGATATTCTCATCATATTACGACTTTATTTTGACTACGACTTCATTCTTGTAAAATTACTACTTTATTCTTGTAAGTTTACGACTTTATTCACATAAAAAATATGACTTTAATGTCAAAATGTTACGACTTTATTCTCGTAGCGCCAGCATTTTAATTATTTTTTATCTGACCCTTATACTCCGTCGTTTGAGTGGACGATCCTTTGAGTCTATAAACTATAAATATTGCTTAAATAAAGTCGTGTTATCCAAGCGTATTTGTCCGCCCACACAAAATCTGAAGAATCTAACTCCCCCTTTCAGATAAACTTAGATGAAAAAGAGACAGGATAAAAGAGAGATATCAAGACTGAACTTTTAACTACGACTGATAAAATAAAGTCCTACCTGAATGCTTGAATATCGAGTGTCAGAGATGTGTTTAGTCCAGATAAAGACGAGCGGAGACTAGAGGAGGACTGGAGCGGGTCTGGAGCGGGTCAGTGTCCCTCAGAGCAGAGCCAGACCTTTGGACGGATCGATAGGCCCGAGTCAACACTCCAATCGCTCGGACTTGTTCGCTACGAAAGCACAGAAACAACAAAAAGAAGAGACTCACCATATGTTCTTAAAGGGATAGTTCGGGTTTTTTTGACATGAATCTGTATGTCAGCCCCGTGAGCAGCGTCGTGCATCAACACCGACTTACCCCCGACAGCGTCCGGTGAGCAGAGATACTGGCCGTTTTCGGTGCTGACGAAAGTTGTCCGGCAAGTTGGCTGGGGACAGTAAAATAAAGCGTTTTTCTTCTCAAAACAACATGTGTTCAAAAGAGTGAAACATTTGCACCACAAAACCATCGTCCTCAAAAAAGTCAGACCTCATAATCACTTGGCACTATTTTCTCTCCGTTCGTATCACTGCGCCCTGCCGCCATGTGACAGCCGCGCCTGGTTCACAGCCTGGATAATCAAGAGTTTGCATCATTTTTTAGATATATTCTTATGTGTCTTATACGAGCTTATATACTTATGGCTCTAGCTCTCGTTAGCTCTCTCGCGTGGCGGCGTCTGCGCATGTAAACACTGCCAAACAACTACAGAAAGTGATGGATCCGTGCGCAGCTGTCACATGGCGGCAGGGCGCAGTGATATGAACCCGCTGGCCCCGGGCAACTTAAAGTTTTATCCGGGCAAGTACTCTCGTCTGCCGATTTGCCCGAGCGGGCAAGTGAAAATAAAGCCACACAAATCTAGTCCCCCAATAATAATAACTATTAATTTGGGTTAAAAAACGAAGCGACGGGTTGTCTGCTCATAACGCTTTTTTTTTTTTTCGTGAAAGGAACAGAAAAGTCCAACGTTGTTGACTGCCGCGAAAAACGGCCGCGATGCTCACTTCATGTTTTGTCTTTCCCACTGACTGTAAGGCAGCTTAAATAAAACGGACGTAGTGTTACCCTGCCTCCTGCTCCGCAATCTTTGCCCAGTCAATCAAAAATGTCCCATAGTGCCACTCCACCCCTTTTTTCTGTCCGTCACTCTAGTGTCAGTGTCAGTGACAAACAAACTAAAGAATATGATCCCTACCTTTTGCTGATACATTTTCCATTGTGTGTAATGTTTATCTTGGAATCCGTGATAAAATAAAGCTCCAGAAGAGTATTTTATGCGAAAAGTTTGTTTCGGTTTTTGTTTTTGGCGGCTCTCCTCTTCTCAACGCGTCAGAACTTCCTCCGCTGCCCAAAACCTCATCACGCACGCACAACCCCGGAAGAAAGTTCAGAACGTTCGCAGGGATCACATGGAAGATTTATGCGAGCGCCACTGTTCAGCGCTAAACTGCGGCTCAAGCAGGATCCACAAGGGAATGACGAGCCCTAACAGTAATAAACAGTTACATTTACCAAATGTATTAGTATGTTTCTATATTTACCAATGAAGGATCTGGTTTAGGCCTGATATAGACTTGATTGTGATACCTAGAAAGTTAAATATAACATACATATTATTTGGTTATTATAGGGGGACCAAACTTTCAAAATTCAAAACTGGGACACACCTGGGTTGGGATGTTTGGTAGAAATGAAAATGTGAAAAGAGCGTTTAAGATAGTCCATTGTTATGTAGGGGTGTGCAAAACTATTGAAAGATCGATATATCGTATTGTTTAATTTGATAATACAGTATTGATATTGTGGGCTGCTGTATCAATATATCGTGAAGAGTATTTTGAGGTATATTTTACTAAATTATTTTGTGTAAATGCTACAATTGTGTTGACATTTTCACTGTTTTGAGTAAAATTGGTGTTTTTTATCTTAACTTTGCACAGACTTAGTGGACTTACTGTCAGCAGAGCAGTGATGTAGAATGTGATGTCATCACATTCTACATCACTGCTCTGCTCACATCACCATAGCAACAAGTAAACTTATTTGATGTGTATTTGTATGTAATGTAATGTAATGTGGGTCACCATGGCAACAGAATGTTTGTTCAGAATGTTCCGTGGCTTTGATGATTTAGGTCATAAAGCTTTGACTCTTTGTGTCTGTGGGTAACAGAGGTTGTAGGTGTAGACATATCAGGGCGTAGACCAACTGTGTGACACAAGTGAGTTAAAAAATGAGCTGCAAGCAAGAAGGCAAGTCCATTTGTACCTTTTTTAACATGCGTCGTAGAACTTCTACATCTGCAGGGTTTTACAGGAAGCAAATGGCCAACAACTGTGAGGTGGAGGATCTGTGTCCGCTGCTCCTCCACCTCACAGCCAGTGAAGAACAGACTAACGCTGCTCCGATGAGACAGAACCTGGAGCTCCAGGACAAGATTATGTCTGAGAAGGAATGCAGAGAGAACATCAATCGAAAGAAGAGGAGAGGATGGTTCTCCTGGTTCTCCCGTTGCGTTTGGATCACCTGGAGAACTGAATATACTTATCATCCACTCAACTGAATTGAAAATGGTTTGATGGAACAATTAGCTCACGTATGAATTCTTAAATTTGTATTGGAGCCAAGTCTAAATGTTTTCCATTCTTACCTTTTCATTAAATGTTTATTGTTATTAATTGTTATTTATTTATTTGTTATTTGTTTATTGTTATTAATGTTTTCATATAAAATATCACTCTCCCCGAACTGCCACCTTGGGGTGGGGGAGTTTGAGTACCCGAATGATCCTAGGAGCTATGTTGCCCGGTGGAGCATTTTCAAACTACCCCCTTCAAAAATTAGGGTTAGGGTTAAGGGAGGTAAGCTTGAAACCGTTTTCAAATTACCGGGGGGTAATTTGAAACCAGCTTCAAACTACCCCCCGGTAGTTTGAAACCTTTACACTGGGGCATTACGCCCCTGGTAGGGTCTCCCGTGGCAAACAGGTCCTAGGTGACGGGGCAGACTAAGAGCAGTTCACAACACCCTTATGAACTTAGAAATAGCGAGGACCGTGACGTCGCCCGGTATGGAGCAGCCGGGGCCTGGGGTTGGGGCTCGAATGCGAGCGCCTTGTTATGCTTTTTTAAAACAACATGAATGTACCAACCACATCCTGAAAATTCATGTTTGTTTTCTTCAAACTGTCTGTTGAGCCCAAGTCTCCATGAACAGACTTTTGTTTTACTGTAGAGATGCAAAGACAAAGATGTTTTGTCTGCTAAAAAACACAAAAAGTCCAGTCTTTCCTTAACCAAATTAAAAATATTATTGATGGAGAAATGATTTTTATATGAGATCACTGCTGCTTTAAATTATGTTCACTCTACTTTTAGTGTCATATTGTTTAGTCCTGGTTTAGTCCTGGTTTAGACCTGGTTTTAGATCTGGTTTAGTCCTGATTTAGTCCTGGTTTAGCCCAAAATGTGAAAACAGGAAAATTACCTTTTTCTTTTCTTTCTTTATTTCCACTGCTTCTTTCCGTAGTTCACCAGCAGAAGACTAGAACTTGTTTTTCATGAATCTAAACAACCTCAAATGTCTCTGAAACACCACACAGATCCACCAACATGACGTACATCTGTCCCCAACGACTCAAATCCAAACACGAGGCTCCAAAATAAGAATAAAACATCTATACACTTTATTAGAAATGATAAATTATAAAAGCAAAATCTCAGGGAAAATATATAAAACACTTAAAACACAAAGAAACAGGCACACGTAAACAAAACAAAACAAAAAAAGAGGCAGATTTCCTACAAACGTTAAAAGCACCATTAATCTTCAACACGTCCACACTCCGGGCTGCGACCACACTGTGGGGAAACGACCGCGATTCTCAAAAAAATGAACACTTCTTGAGTTAATACTGGGATTTTGCGGTTAATTTTGTGCATTTTCTGTCATTTGAAACTAAAACAAACACTTTGAAATTCTGCTTTCTCCTTAAAACGCCCTGATCTTTCGTGCTAGATTTACTGTCGTATTGCAATGAAAAGGAGCAAAGCATCATGGTCTTTGTAGTCTTTGTTGGCTGCTGTAACAGAACCGTGACGAACGAGCTCGTGGTTTTATAAATTGTAAATTGAGAAGTCACGTTAGTTAAAATAATCCTTCATTTTAAGTGCCACGTTTGAAATACGTCAATAAAGTTTAGGTTTAGTTAAAAAATAAAAATAAAAAGCAGATTCCAACTAAACACGCAACGGAATTTGGCAGATTAATTTCACACGATTGTAGTTCGGCTTTGAGATTTTAGAATCTACAAAAACCTCAACTACAAACTAATTTAAAAGGTGCATTCGTAAATTTTTATAATAAATTGGCAGATATGAAAATTCAATCAAATTTTTTGTAACACTAAATGGATTTCACAAAACTAAATTCTGGCAGCGCATTTCCTAAAACGAAACTTCTAATTATTAAAAGAAATTAATAATTGCCCAATGTGTCTTTCCTTTAAAAATAAATAAATAAAGAAAAGAAAAGGAAAAAAAAAAAAAAGAAAAATAATTCAATAAATTTTTTGTAACACTAAATGGATTTCACAAAACTAAATTCTGGCAGCGCATTTCCTAAAACAAAACTTCTAATTATTAAAAGAAATTAATAATTGCCCAATGTGTCTTTCCTTTAAAAAAAATAAATAAAATAAAATAAATAAATAATAATAATAAAATAAAATAAAAAAAGGAAAAAAAAAAAAAAAATTGAAAAAAAATTCAATACATTTTTTGTAACACTAAATGGATTTCACAAAACTAAATTCTGGCAGCGCATTTCTTAAAAGGAAACTTCTAATAATTAAAAAGAAATGAATAATTGCCCAATGTGTCTTTCCTTTAAAAATAAATAAAATAAAAAATAAAAAATAAAATAAAATTAAAAAAAAAAAAAGAAAAAAAAAAAAAAAAAAAAAAAAAAAAAAAAAAAAAAAAAAAACGCACACCAGTTTCTGTAGAAGTGCAAATGCAAGGAGCAGTCAAATAAAAGTGAAAAATGCATTTGGACATCTGCCATCTGAGTGTGTTATGCATTTTATTTATTTTTTTTTCCACTTTTATCGTGCTTCATCATGCCGTGTCTCAGCTACTGCCATGTTTTTATTTCATGTGTCTTTTATGTAAATGGCTCTGTGAAAAAGCAGCAGCTCCTTCAGTCCAAATGCAGCCTCATGAATGTTAAAAGTAAAAATGTTAAAGGTCTCGTATTACGCAAAATTGACTCTTGTGAGCTTCAAGTCGTGTTATGACGTTTCCTCGTCAAAAACAAACCTGGAGTTGTGTTTTGTTTCATTCACACCTTTATTATCAGTCTGTCTGTATCTCCAAATCTCAAAATGCTCATGTAGTGGTAGTTTTCAAGTGAACAGCTCCTTTTTACCTTTTGTTCAGTAAAGATTGGAGATAAAATTATTCCGGCCTTTCTGAAAGTCTAACTGACGACAGCGACGCAGAAGAGGAAGCGGCGCGACGTTTACCTCCGGAGGTCGAGGAGTTGTTCAGAAGTGACACCGAGGATGAAGAATTGAATGGATTTAGTGATTTGGAGTGAGATGGAGAGTTTGTTAAACTTGTTCTGTTCTGTTGTTTATGTTATAGTTTATCTGAAGAACTGTTCATATGTGACGTTAACAGTCTGTTCTTCTCTCTTCTATTGTTATACACGCATCACGAATTTCGGACTTCCGGTCACTGCGCAATGCATACTGGGAAGGATTTTCAAAAAAAGTGAGAACCAATTGTCAAAGTCGATCTTTTCAAGTCTTTTGAACCATATGACTTTTGTTTCTGGTTCTGATATTGTCATATTTCAGTTTTGGGATTCGGACATCGTAATTGCGTGGTTGTTCGATGTTCTAACAGCAGAAAAACGGGCTTTGGACGTTTGCGAACTCCATAAATGCAAAAGTGAATCAGATGTGTGTGACTCAAACCTCCGTTCAAACTGTTTCTCTTCCCAACAAAATTGAAAAATAGTGAAAGGTGAAGGTGATGGGCAGGATTGATCCACAGGAAGAACCAAAAAGGAAACATTTGACTGACTAAATCATCCTGAGTTTGCAGAGAACATTTTGTATGTGGAGCGACAACAAAGTGGGATCCTGTTTGTTAATGTAGAGGAGCAGAAGACAAACAGACTGAGCTGCACTTTCTTGTTCTTGTTGTTTTACAGCAACATCACGTCTTGGTCTCTTTGCAGTGGAAGGTGTTTCTTGGTGAACAGCTGGAGTCTTTCGCTTTGGCGTTGACTTTTTAAATTCGTAAACACGACTAAGCGAGGGATCGGGATTTTGCTTTGTTGTCGCTCCACAAACAAAATGTTCTCTGCAAACTCGGGATGATTTCTTAGGCAGTCAGAGGTTTCCTTTTTGGTTCTTCCTGTGGCTCAATCCTGCCCATCACCTTCACCTTTCACTATTTTTCAATTCCGTTGGAAAGAGAAACAGTTTGAACAGAGGTTTGCAGTCACACACATCTTCCGAAGCCCATTTCTCGAGTTGTTTTCCGCTGTTAGGATCCAACAACCACACAATTACGATGTCTGAATCCCAAAACTAAAATATGACAATATCAGAACCAGAAACAAAAGCGATACGGTTCAAAAGACTTGAAAAGATCGACTTTGACAATAGACACATCCCACTGGGAAAACAAACAATCATCTTTTTCGGAAAATTCTTCCCAGTGTGCATTACGCGATGACCAGAAGTCCGAAATTTGTGATGCATTTATTACTATAACTTCACTTTCCAAGGTTCCTGGTCTCTGATTTTATAAAATAAATTTACCCCAAAAAGTGCGACTAAAACTCAGAATAAAAATAATTCAAACATGTTTTTTCAGGGTTGAGAAATTTAAAGCGAGAAATTCAGTGATATTTAAAATTAAAAACCTGAGCTGCCACTGTAAATGAGTAAAAGTTTTCCTATAAATTCATGTGTTTCCCTTTGTTCCAGTGTGGTCGCAGCCGCCAGTTTTCCTCATTTTAAAGTCCTTCAGAAAAGTTTGGGAAGCTGCCTCAGTCGGCTCAGATCCAGAATATTCCCCACCGATCCCTGGCTCTCCGCGGTTTGCCTCTTCCTCCTCGCGTTCTCCTTTTCGTCGTCTTCTTCTTCTTCTCCTCCGCGGTTTTGTCCATTTCTCGCCAGGAGCTGCATCTTGGGCTTGAGCTCGCGGATCAGCTGACTCTGCGGCAAAAGCGCTTCGCAAAACGGCCGCTCTTTCGCTTCCCGTTCTGCTTCCTTTTCTTCTTCCTCCTCGTCCTCGTCCTCGCTCTCCTCTTCGATGAGCCCGTAGCGTTTCATGTACTTGCGCGTGGCGAGGGACATGTTGCTGGGGGACAGGATGGTGATGTCGGTGGAGGCGGAGGAGGAGAGGGCGGCGTGGCGAGGGCGAGGGCGAGGGCGGGGGCGCGTTTGGGGTTGTGCGCGGCGAGCGAGAGGCGGGTGAGCTGCTGGTCGGAGAGGTAGCGCAGGGCGATGGCGTTGGCCTCCAGGCTCAGGTCGGAGCTGGAGGACGGGTGGGGGGGGAGGGCGAGCGAGGCGGACGGGGCGGAGAGACGGGAGACGACGGCGGCCGGGTTTATACAGGCCAGAGTGCTGCAGGGACAGACAGAGGCAGGGGGGTTAGAACATGCAACAGGTTTAAGTTACAAACAGAACAAAACTACTGTCATTTCAGGACTATAAACCACTACTTTTTTCTCACACTTTGAACCCTGTGGCTTAAACAATGAGAGGGTGAGAGATAGAGATGGGCATGATTAATCGGTTAATTGCTCATTAAGAATTTCATCGATTATGTTCATTTTAATCGACAAACCGAACGTATGTTGCTGTGTGTATCGTGACCAAACAGGTGTGTACATGTGTCTCTGCATCAGAAGGAGCGAGACACAAACAGTGGGTCAGTCTGTAACGAACCGAAGCACAAATGTGGATTTAACGATGATTTGTACAAGAAATTCCACACTTTCCGCACAGTGTATAAAGCAGCACATATGTTTCTGTGTCCAGTGGGAAAAAGTTTTCCAGGTGAGAGTCGCTCAATGTGGATGACGAGGCCCCGCCCCCCTCCCCCCGTACGGTGTCCTGGTTTTGACAAACGCAAATCTGGTCACACTGACCTGTATTCACCTGAGTCATGTCTTTTAATCCAACAGAAATTGAACCACATCAGTGACACAAGAGCTGGAGTTTTATCTTCACTTAGTTTATGCAAATTAGTGATGTGGTTTTAAGTTTTGTTTCTGTGAGATTTGAACAAAACTGAATTAAACACATTATAATGTCAAACGGGCTGATGTGGCTCTAGAGTCGTTACGGTTTATATGTCGTAAAGTTGAATTTATTTATGCAGATTAGTAGTGCAGATAGTAATAATAATGATGATCATTTTAATATAAAAACATTAATGATTAAATCGATAATCGATCGTTAATTCTTCCGACGACCGATTAAGAAAATTTCATCGAATGTCCATCCCTATTGAAAGACCAAGACCTCTGAGGGTTGAGACCAAGACCAGACCGAGACCACGGCCCATCAAGACCAAATCGAGACCATCTTTATCGTTTATTTGTATTTTACAGTTATTCTGACACATATATATCAATGTTTTTATAAATCTGTCTCCATTTTATCTGATTAATATTCATTTAGGCTTCAAATAAGCCAAACAAACTGTACTGCACTGAGCGTAATAGTCCGATGAGGTTCGTTTGGTCTTTCGATAATTTATGTTTTTAGGTTCTTTTTTCAGACCTAGAGTGTTATTTCATACCTGACAGTTTCGACTGCTCACTGTGGTTTTCCTCAGAGTCACGTGATGTTGCTGTGACGTGTTGTTCAGCTGATTTAAACAGGTTCTGGCGCCGTCTTCCTACCGGTGGAGGCAGGACGACAGCGCCACCTGCAGTCTGACTTCCTCAGGACAGTATCCCAGGTGTGTGAGAGTAAAAAAGACATCATTGGGACAGAGGAAAACAAACATCGTCGCTGGATTAAAGAGGCAATCGAAATACGGAAATGTGCCCACGGGACGATAAACCGGGACGAGGGGCTTTTTTACTCTCACACACACTTGGGATACAGTCCTGAGGAAGTCGGACTGCAGGTGGCGCTGTCGTCCTGCCTCCACCGGTAGGAAGACGGCGCCAAAACCTGTTTAAATCAGCTGAACGACACGTCACAGCAACATCACGTGACTCAGAGGAAGACCACAGTGAGCAGTCGAAACTGTCAGGTATGAAAACAAACTCTAGGTCTGAAAAAAGAACCTAAAAACATAAATGTACTGCCCTGAAACACTGCAGCCCTTTTTTGGAGCCTCACCCACAGTTTGAGAACTTTAAGCCAACTTCTACTGGCACTTTACAGAAAACTGAAGAGAGTGAATTTTTAGCCTTTGCACATTTACCAAACGCACGTCATGAAAAACACAGATTTATGTGGCAAACTTCAGCCCGCATATCGCTGTAGGCCTGCTGTGCCGACACTGAAGCGCAAATTTTGATTAGTTTCTGCTTCATGTTTCGTCTTGCCCTTCCAATCAGCGCAAACTAAACACTGAGCCAGTATCCACTATGAGCAGGGAGGAGAGAGCGTGAAAAGGCGAGGAGCGGTGCGCTGACGTGAGGCGGATGGACAGGTAGGATGTTTTAAAAAGTTTAACCTGCCCTGTGATACACGCTGGAACATGAGGGTGTAGGCTGTGCGGACAAACTGCGCACTGAGAGCTTGTGTTTGTGATGTGAAGCGCAGTGTCCGCGGACTCCAGACGAGCGCACAGGCTGCAGTAAGGGCAAGGGTACAGCACGATTCACAGGTTAGGTCAGGTATAGTGCAATAAAAACACCACCTGCTTTTGTTTTAGTATATTTTTGGCTAAAATGTACTTGCAGGGCCTTTAAAGAGTACTTGCCTATATTTTAAAAGAGAGAAACAGAGACCCAGGGGCCAAATTTGAATCTGTGTATCATTCGTTCATTCGTTTTTCAATATAAAACCAAAAATAAGAAAACGACAAAACAGCAATTTTCTTCATTATTTGTCTCCAAAACCAAAATGAAAAAAACAGATAATGATTCATTTTTTCAGTTTTCAATTTTGTGTTTAAATGAAAAATGGAAAAAACGGATAACGACCGTTTCCCGTTTACGTGACTTCCGTGACTGCGATGCCGGACTTCTGCACCGAATACGGACTGAACCAGGACTGATCCAGGTCCGGGACCACACCAGGACCACAGCAGACTCTGAGCTTTGACTCCGAGCCTCCGCGGGGTCCGAGCCTCAGCTTCGAGTTCCGGTCCTGCCGTGGGCTCTGAGCCTCCGTCTGGTCCCGGTCTCAGTCCCTGGTCTGGTCCGGTCTGGTTCCAGTCTGGTCCTGGTCCCGGACCTGGATCAGTCCTGGATCAGTCCTGGTTCAGTCCTGGTTTCAGTCCTGGTTCAGTCCTGGTTCAGTCCTGGTTCAGTCCTGGTTCAGTCCGGCATCGCAGTTTAAGTCATGTAAACGGGAAAGGGTCATTATCCGTTTTTCCCATTTTTCATTTAAACACAAAATCAAAAATTGAAAAAACGAATCGTTATTTTTTTTTGTTGTTGTTTTGGAGACAAATAATGAAGAAAACTGTTGTGTTTTTGTTTTCTTATTTTCAGTTTTATATTGAAAAATGAATGAATGAAACACGGATTAATTTGGCCCGTGATATAATTATATTTGACTAGACTATAGACTATAGAGACATTATTTATTTAAAATGTTATTATTTTATATTTTGTTTGTTCTGGATTCAGTGTTTAAGCAAAACTACTATTAAACATTTATTTTAACAAGAAAAAATGTAACATCACATATCACGAAAGAAGAGAAAACATGCAGATGTTGTTGAAAATTTTCAATAAATAGTTTGGGCCACGACTTAGTCCGAGTTTTTAATTTTGGCCTTTGTGAATTTGATTTTGACTCCACTGCTTTAAAATAATATTACTAAAACTTTGCTATTTGTGATTTGAGAAATTGCAGTCGCGATGCAGCTAAACTACGAAAACACCAACAGGTCACTCTTCTCCGCCGTTGTGATCACATCGAATTTAAAGGAAAGTTTCAAATATCAGTATCAGAGGTGGAAAAAGTCGAATCGTACGTAATAATAAAGAGGATTTTGAGTCCTTACCCGGCGCTCTCCACGGCTTTGGCTCTGGCTCGCTCTCCCTCGCTCAGCTCCTGTTTGTCCAGGTTCACCCCGAGCTGCTGCAGTCTCCTCAAGGTGGCGCTCACGACCACGTCCTCCCCACCTCGATCGGCGGCTCTCGGGGACTGCTTCTTTTTCTTATTCTTCTTGGACCCCTGCGCCGGAGCCAAGACCTGAGCCGGACTCTGGACTGGACTGTGGACCTGACCTGGTGCCGAAGAGGAGGAGGAGGAGGAGAGGGAGGAGTGAGCCGGAGACTGCGTGCGTTCAAGACTCTTCCTCCGAGTCTCTTCGTCCTGTTTGGGCTCTTTCACTTCCTGTTTGGACGGTTCTTCCTCTCGCAGGCGACTGTTGAGCTGCGTCTGAAAAGCAAAAAACAAAACGTCAGGAACCACGAAAGCGTCAGAATTAAAAGCAGAAACACCAGGAGCAACAGAGGGATTATCATGAATGTTTTGTGATTCTGGTTTTCAAATGTGATGTAGATCTGCCTTTTGATTAAGATTTTGAGGGGCAAAAAAGCTCAGCACATTCACAACAAAACTGAACTGATCACTAATCAATAAAGCAAAGCCGTCTATAGTGTCGTAGTATTCGAGACCGGTCTTGGTCTTGAGACTGGCCTCGAGACCGCTTTTTTACACTCTTGGTTTCGTCTCTGACTCAAGGGCATTTGGACTCGGTCTTGTTTCAGTCTTGAGGGTACTTGTCTCGGTCTCGTCTCGGTCTCGTCTCGGTCTCGAAGGCGCTTGTCTCGATCTCGTCTGTGTCTCGTCTCTCGGTCTCGTCTCGGTCTCGTCTCGGTCTAGTCTCGGTCTAGTCTCGGTCTAGTCTCGGTCTAGTCTCGGTCTAGTCTCAGTTTTGAAGGCGTTTGTCTCACTCTTGAAGGCACTTGTCTCAGTCTAGTCTCGGTCTCGTCTCGGTCTCGTCTCGGGTCTCGGTCTCGTCTCGGTCTCGTCTCGGTCTCGTCTCGGTCTAGTCTCGGTCTCGTCTCGGTCTAGTCTCGGTCTAGTCTCGGTCTAGTCTCGCTCTTGAAGGCGCTTGTCTCACTCTTGTCTCACTCTTGTCTCGGTCTTGTCTCGGTCTTGTCTCGGTCTTGTCTCGGTCTTGTCTCGGTCTTGTCTCGGTTCTCTGTCTCACTCTCTCTCGGTCTCTGTCTCTCGGTCTCTTGTCTCGTCTTGTCTTGTCTTGTCTCACTCTTGTCTCACTCTTGTCTCACTCTTGTCTCGGTCTTGTCTCGGTCTCTTGTCTCGGTCTTGTCTCGGTCTTGTCTCGGTCTAGTCTCGGTCTAGTCTCGGTCTAGTCTCGGTCTAGTCTCGGTCTAGTCTCAGTTTTGAAGGCGTTTGTCTCGCTCTTGAAGGCACTCGTCTCGGTCTCGTCTCGGTCTCGAAGGAGCTTGTCTGCGTTGTCTCGGTCTCATGTCGTCTCGTTCTCATCCCGGTCTTGAAGGAGCTCGTCTCAGTCTCGTCTCAGTCTCGTCTCAGTCTCGTCTCAGTCTCTCAGTCTCAGTCTCAGTCTCGTCTCAGTCTCGTCTCAGTCTCGTCTCAGTCTCGTCTCAGTCTCGTCTCAGTCTCGTCTCAGTGACGTCACAGACTCGAGGTCTGGCATTCGACGAGTGCCATCATATTTCATTACATTTGGTTAAATGTGCAGGGGCTAAATATCACAGGAAAACCAGCTAGATAATGTAACTGTAAATATTATGAATATTTAAATATGTAAATATTGATTCACTTTGAAGTCGTTTTCTATAAAGTTTCAGTGGAAGTTCTCTTAAAGAAGGGGTTTTCAAACTCTGGTTCAGGGTCCAAGAAAGGGGCACAGAGTGTTTCAGGACAGTACAGTCTGCTTGTCTTATTTTAGGCCTAAATGAACATTAACCTGATAATATGAAGCTAGTGAAAAGCAGGGGGGGTGAGCGATGAATGTGGCTTGGAGGAAAGAAGTAAAGGCAGCGGTTCATAAAAACAACGATATAAATGTGCCAGAATAACTGTAAAATACAAATAAATATAGGAAATGACAAAGATGGTCTTGATTTGGTCTCGATCATATCTGGGTCTCAACCTTTTAAAGTCTTGGTCTTGTCTCGTCTTGACTATGACATTAGCCATCTACAGTGTTTTTGAGAATATGAACCGCAAAACATTACTATCCAATCATCTATTGTTTCTGAACTCACTGCATAGAATTGTGATTTAAGTTATAATAAAAAATCTGTTTTATATAGCTCTTTTCTGGACTTTACAGAGCTTTATTCATTCACTCCCCACTCGTTATGAACTAAATATTATGATTGTTCCACAGTTGGGCAAAACTATGGGACGAACTGCACAGCTCTAGATCATTAGTGTCGTACATACGCGCTGGTCAGAGTTTGATTTTACCATGAGGCTGTGGTAGAATCCGTCCGGTTGATCCTCCTGAGGGCCGTACATGCTCGCACTCTCTCCCAGAACAGGACTGTCCACACTGCTCAGGCTGAACACACAAATACACACAAGACAACACTTTACTCCTGTCAATATTTCTAGAAAAACCCTCCTGCCCATAGAACAACTCCTCATGTGCACCACTAGGGGGTCTGCAAAAGTGAGTGGCTGTGTTGCTATATCTTTTTGGTGCATTTTAATTGATTATTTTGTGTTAGAGTTGCAATCGTGTTGACATTTTCACTCTTTTGACGAGTAAAATGGGTCTTTTTCATATTCACTTCGCACAAACTTAGTGGAATTAATAGATTTGAGTGTCACAGCCATGATTTAGCCTTTGTTTTTCACTGAATCGTATCGAATCTGTTGGAAATATATCGTATAGAATCGGACTGAATCGGAAGAGCACTGTATCGAAAAACGTATACAGATGGAAATTAGCATTGCACATGTCCCTATTAAATTAAGTAAATAATTTTTAAAAGGCCTAGGTATCGTATTGGTAACTTCTTAATGATACTCAGTCATATTCAGCACCTACAGTTTTCAGAGAAGGTTGGATTTTTGCCTGTTTTCAGATCATAAACTTGTTCTCAGCTCAAAATCTTAAAACAGCATTTTAATCTTTAGCTTCAGCTCAATCCGTGTATCATTCGTTCATTCGTTTTTCAATATAAAACCAAAAAAAAAAAACGAATAAACAACAGTTTTCTTCATTATTTGTCTCCAAAATCAAAATGAAAAAAAACTGATAAAGATTTGTTTTTTCAGTTTTCAATTTTATGTTTGAATGAAAAATGGAAAAAAACGGATAACGAACGTTTCCCGGTGTGGTCCTGGACCTGGATCAGTCCTGGTTCTGTCCGTATGCAGCGCAAAAGTTCGGCATCGCAGTCACGAGAGTCACATAAACGGGAAATGTCTGTTATTCGTTTTTTCCATTTTTTCCAACAACATTTTTCTTCATGATTTGTCTCCAAAACCAAAATGAAAAAACAGATAATGATTCATTTTTTCAGTTTTCGATTTTGTGTTTGAATGAAAAATCGAAAAAATCGAAAAAATGGAAAAAACGAATAACGGACGTTTCCTGTTTATGTGACTCTCGTGACTGCGATGCCGAAATTCTACGCTGCATGTGGACTGAACCAGGTCCGGGACCACACCGGGACCAGACCGAGACCAGACCGGGACTGAGACAGAGACCAGAGCGAGACTCCGAGCTTTGACTCCAAGCCTCAGCCCTGACGTGGGCTCTGAGCCTCCGGTCTGGTCCCGGTCTGGTCCCGGTCGGAGTCCCGGTCCCGCTCTTAGTCCCGCTCTTAGTCCCGCTCTTAGTCCCGCTCTTAGTCCCGCTCTTAGTCCCGGTTCAGTCCGTATGCAGCTCAAAAATCCAACATCACAGTAACGGGAGTCACGTAAACGGGAAACGACCGTTATCCGTTTTTTCCATTTTTCATTTAAACACAAAATCGAAAACTGAAAAAATGAATCATTATCTGTTTTTTTTTTCATTTTGGTTTTGGAGACAAATAATGAAGAAGACTGTTGTTTTTTCGTTTTCTTCTTTTTTGATTTTATATTGAAAAACGAATGAACAAACGATACACGGACTCAGCTCTGCTCCGCTGTGGCTCCTCTCACTGTGATTGGTCAGAGGACGGTCTCATGTGGGAGGAGAGCGCCGCTGCTGCACAGACACTGGTTGTACTTCGCTGCTGAGACTAAACCTGCAGCGTGCGCCACTAAACTGGGCCCATGTTCACACCCGGGGAGTGGGAGCTGACAGCTTTGTTTCAGTTCTCACATTCTGTCTCCTTGATTGCTCAGTTGCTTAAACGGGTTATTTTAGATTTGTTTACTGGGAGGAAGAGCTCATCCAAAGTGTTGAGGAAAGTGTCGAGGCAGATTTGTGATGTCTGCGCTTTTATTTCTCCTCTGCAGTTTTCTACCTCCGTCAAGTTGGCCCCCATCAAACGCAAACCTACACAAAAACTATGTCAATCGTTTGTGCTGCTTTAATTTCTGAGGTATTAACGGCTTTTTTATTAGGTCAAATTGGGGTCAGCCAGCCCCCAGGAAGCTTCAAAATGCGTTAAAATTTCCCAAAATGGTCAATCGTTAATGCTTCGTTTGAGCTGCAAAAAGTTTCATTTGTGTGATTATGATTCTTAAAATATTAACAGTTTTATTTTCAGCCCATGACCTCATCCAGCCCCTCGAAATGTTAAACAGCCTCAAAACAGGCAGAAAATTATACGAATCGTTTGTATTTCGTTTGCGCTGTGACAATTTTCATTTGTGCGAGTATATTTCTAAAATGATTAATTATTATTTTTGTTGAAATAACATGACGTCATTTCCGCTCAGCTGACGTCAGCGGCTTTAACAAAACTCCACAAAACTAGTGAAGATAAACGATCTCAGAATGTGAAAAAGTCTGATAGTGTTGATCATTGTGCCTTGTAATCACAGCGCCGTTTGTTTACATTAGCATTTATTTAATTATAATTATGGAGATGCTCTGAGCAGCGAGTACAGCCAGAAGAGAGAGTCTGTAAAACTTCTGTCTCTGTCACAGTCTTTATCGAAGGTCAACGCAGACTCGCCGCGTGTTTTGGGAGCGGACTTTATTTCGTGTTTTCCTCGTTTGAGTAACATCGGCGCACCTGACAGGGCTTCTCTGTTTCATACTAATTGTTTTGCTTCCTGTTTACAGCTTCATCCTGCAGTTTTTCTAACATTACAGCAGTGGTCACAGCTTATGAAAAAAAAAAAAAAAAAACAAAAACAAGTCTGCGATAAAAAATAATGCCGTTAAAATTGTTTTGCCTTAACTCGTCAATAACGTGATATCTTTGACAGCACTAATAATAATAATAATACAGACTTTTCCACAGCCTGAGATCGTTTATCAGCACAAAACGACGCAGAAACACCATTTTAGAGCAGGGGTGCTCAATACGTCGATCGTGATCTACCAGTCGATCGCCAAGGTCGTGTCTCGTATCGGACTCGCGTTTGGACTCGGTCTTGTCTCTCACTCGAGGTCTGACACTCAACAAGTGTGATCATATTTCATTACGGCCGCTGCTGTTGGTAATAAACTTGTAGCGGGTGCAGGAGCGTGTGGGGCGTCTCAGTGCAGCCTGTGCGCTCATTTGAAACCCGCGGAGACTCTACGGCGCATCACAAACACACACGCTCCCTATGCACGGCTCGTCTGCGACAGCGTGTGCCCTCGTGTACCAGCGTGCATCACAGGGCAGGTTCAACTTCCTAAACATCCTACCTGTCCATCTGCCTCACGTCAGCACGCCGCCCCTCGCCTTTTCACGCTCTCGCTCCTTCCTGCGTACAGCGAACACAAGCCCCTCCCACAGTGCGGCTGATTAGAAGAGCAAGACCAAACGTGAAGCAAAAACCAGTCTAAATTTGTGTTCCAGTGTTGGCACAAAGCAGGTCTACAGCATAGAGCGGATCTACAGAACAGACCTACTGCCACATTTGGCTGAAGTTTGTCTAACAAAAGTGCACAAATGCATCTGTGTTTGTCACGATGTGCGTTTGGTTTGGTAAACGTGCAGAGGCTGGTAAATATCACTGCAAAACCAGAAAAGAATGAAACTCCAGTTTGGAACTTTAAAAAACAGGTTTAAAAATCTTCCTTCACTTTTTTCACAGTTTTGTGTAAAGTGCCAGAGGAAGTTCTCTTAAAGAAGAGGTTCTCAAACTGTGGGCGAGGGTCCAAAAAAGGGGCAGAGTGTTTCAGTGCAGTTTGCTTGGCTTTGTATTAGGTAGATCATTTTGACTTGGTCATTTTGTAAGTAGCTCACATGATGAAAAAGTGTGAGCACCTCTGTTTTAGAGCATTTTGAAGCTTCCTGAGGACTGACTGACCCCAATTCGACCTATAAAAGAATCGTTAATATCTCAAAAACTAAAGCAGCACAAACGATTGGCATAGTTTTTGTGTAGGTTTGCGTTTGAACTGTTTTTTTTTTTTTTTTTTTTTTATCTCCCCCTGGTGGACAGAAAGTGAGTCATATTTCTGTACCCGCTGTGAGCTGGAGTGGGTGAAGAGGGCTCGTCCGCTGCGGTCGCGTTGTTCCTCTGGGCGCCGAGCTCGGCCTGATCGCGTGACCCCGCTCTGGACGGGGGGCTGGCTCTGTGCGCGCTGCGGGGAGGGGACACGGCGCCCCCTACGGGAGCGACGGAGAGACAAAACAGAGAAGGAGGAGGAGAGGTGGAAGAGTCCCGGCGCAGGGTAGGAGGCTCGGGCCAGAACAGAGACGCTCCTGAACAAAGACAAAGACAGAACTTCTGAAGAACAGACGTTTTACACAAATTCAAAAGGAAATTCTACGTTACAAACAGTGTTGGGAAGGTGACTTTTAAAATGTATTCCCCTACAGATTACAGATTACATACTCCAAAATGTAGTTTGTAACGTAATCCATTAAATTACTTAAAGTGAGTAATGTAATCTGATTACTTTGGATTACTTGATTTACTGTAGAGAAGCAAAGACGAGGAAATCTTCACATCAGATGTTTTGTCTGTTAAAAGTCAATGAAAAAGCCCAGATTTTACTGAACCAGATTAAAAATATTATTGATAGAAGACGAGGAGACACGGTCCGCACAGCATGATTTAGTCCTGTTAAATCCTGTTTTAGACCTGGTTTAGACCTTGTTTACACCTGGTTTACACCTGGTTTACACCTGGTTTAGTTCTAGTTTAGTTCTGGTTTAGACCTGGTTTAGACCTGGTTTAGTTCTGGTTTAGACCTGGTTTAGACCTGGTTTAGACCTGGTTTTAGTCCTAATTTAGTCCCAGTTTAGACCTGGTTTGGACCTGGTTTTAGACCTGGTTTAGACCCAGTTTAGACCTGGTTTAGTCCCGATTTAGTCCTGGTTTAGACCTTGTGTGGTCCTGGTTTAGTCCTAATTTAATCCCAGTTTAGATCTGGTTTTAGACCTGGTTTAGTTTGAGACAATGAGTGGAATTACCAAAAAAAAACAAAAAACAAAATAAAACATGTCAGTATTTCAGTATTTGATCGTGAAAGTTTTAAGATTTGGTTTAAACTGCACAGGATTAGTGAAAATTATTTAAAACACTGTCCTTGTGTCATTTTTCTTTTCAAATTAGTGATAAATAAATGCAAAACAATCAGAGCTACAAACATTAAGCATAAATGTAACAGAATATGTTAAAAAAATACAGTTTATTGTAGGTATTGAGTATTCTGTACTTAAATACAGGATCCTGGTGAGGAGGACTAAAGGGCCGTTCACACCAAAGCGTCAAAGCGTCCAGTTTCTATGTAAAGTCGATGTGGACGTGACTAGAACGCGCGTCTTGAGCGTTTTGGCGTCGGCGGTCTAGACGCGCGTCCAAGGCGTCAGCGTCAGAAGTTGAAAATGCTGAACTTTTCGTGTCAGACGCGCCGTGTCGACCAATCAGGGACGAGTATCCAGAGACGCAGCGACGTTATTATCAGGAAGAAAAAACAGAGAACCAGAACGAGAAACACAAACATGAGCAGAGAATAAATATATACACCACAATCACCGAGACGATCACGAGGACTAAACCAGGACCGGACCAGGACTAAATACGGACCTGACCGGGACTAAACAAGGACTTGACCGGGAGTAGACCAAGGCTAGACCGAGACTAGACCGAGACCAAACCAGGACTAGACCGGGACTAAACAAGGACTAGACTAGACCGGACTAAACAAGGACTAGACCGAGACTAAACAAGGGACTAGACCGAGACTAGACCGGGACTAGACCGGGACTAGACCAGGACTAAACCAGGACTGATCCAGTGTCATTAGTGGAGTATAAATATAAATACGCCCCAGTCGTCGAGTCGATCTCCTCCGCTGATGTTTTAAGGTCATAAAAACACTAAAGTCTCTCTCAGTCTGGTCTGACATTGTTTTCGGAAAAGAGCTGGACCGGGCTCTTGTTTCCAGGGCAACGGACGCGCGTCAAGTATTTTTGTCCCGTTCGTCCACGGCGTCAAAGACGAGCGTCGGGGGCGTCTAAACTCAAACGCAAAGCCGTCCAAATAGAGGCGTCAAGGCGTTTTTTGACGCTTTGGTGTGAACGGCCCTTTAGTTGGAGGATTATTGAGCATGTTTTGGGTTGAGGAGGGGGTTGAAGCTCACCTGTGCCCACCGCGATGCTCGCTGTGCTTTTAGTCTGAGTTTCCGTTTGCTGTTGACTCGACTGGAGCTTCGCCTGAGCCTCCAAGAGCATCTGGACCTAAAGACGAGACCAGAGGAGCAGAGGAGAAGGTCAGAAGGTCAGAGGAGAGATGCTGATGCTGCAGGAGACAGAGGAGGAACACATTTTTGGCTCTTCTTCTCCCCAAACTGCCCTGACACAGAATCTGCTGACCCTCCCCGACCAGTCCTCCTGCTAAACTGCACTGAGACCTTTGAGTGAGACACAGTTGTACCAAAACTTGAACTTAATGGTGTTAAGATTTGAATGGCGGTGCGTGCAAACATGGCGGCCTCTCGCTCTCCCAGTTGTCATCTACGCACGGGACAGAGAGAAGCGTAATTTTGATTCCTTTGTATGTTTTGTACATGTGAAGAAACTGAAAAAAAAAAAAAAACTAACTTTGAACATTTAGAGGGTCAGAGGAGCAGAGGAGAGGAGCAGAGGGTCAGAGAAGAGGGTCAGATGGAGCAGAGGGTTAGAGGAGCAAAGAAGAGGGTCAGAGGATCAGAGGAGAAGGTCAGAGGAGTAGAGGAGCGGGTCAGAAGGTCAGACGGAGCAGGAGAAGAGCAGAAGGCCAGATGGAGCAGAGGAGCAGTGGAGAGGGTCAGATCGAGTTGAGTGTCAGAGGAGAGGGTCAGATGGAGCAGGAGAAGGTTTGTTGGAGCAGGAGGTCAGTTGGAGCAGAGGAGAGAGTCATATGGAGCAGGAGAAGGTCAACTGGAGCAGAGCAGCAGAGGAGAGGGTCAGAGGGTTAGAGGAGCAAAGAAGAGGGTGAGAGGGTCAGAGGAGAGGTTCAGATGGAGCAGAGGGTCAGAGGAGAGGTACAGAGGAGCCAAGGAGCAGAAGAGAGGGAGCAGAGGAGAAGGTCAGAGGATCAGAGGAGAGGGTCAGAGAGAGAGGATCAGAGGAGAGAGTCATATGGAGCAGGAGAAGGTCAACTGGAGTAGAGCAGCAGAGGAGAGGGTCAGAGGGTCAGTGGAGAGCTTCAGATGGAGCAGAGGGTCAGAGGAGAGGTACAGAGGAGCCAAGGAGCAGAAGAGAGTGTCAGAGGATCAGAGGAGAGGGTCAGAGGGAGCAGAGGGAGGAGAGGAGAGGGTCAGAGGAGGAGAGGAGAGGGTCAGAGAGAGGGTCAGAGGAGAGGGTCAGAGGAGTAGAGAAGAGGGTCAGAGGTCAGAGTAGAGGAGAGGGTCAGAGGATCAGAGGAGAGGGTCAGAGGAGCAGAGGAGAGGGTCAGAGGAGTAGAGGAGCGGGTCAGAAGGTCAGAGGAAGCAGAGGATTCACCTGTTGCTGCAGTAGCCGTAGCTGCCTGTCCTGCTGCAGTAACAGTTGGTAGGTCTCCCCAGACGACAGCGCCACCTTCTGCTCACAACACGCGTTCGTACAGACCGCGGCCGGAGGAGGCGGAGCCACGAACGCGGGCTGTCCACACGACGACGGCGCCATCACACCGGGACTCCTACTGGCGAAGGAAGGAACTGCGGCTGCTCCATTGTGCAGACACGACTGAACCAAGTTTAGATTTGCAGAGTGGGAAAGCGGAGACTGGAACGAGTTTTGATGTTGCGGCAATAATTCCGTGTTTCCGGCGGAGTTATTCAAGCTCGCCGTTATCGGACTCAGCTTCCCGACGTTTTGCGGCGTGTGGAAGAGATCGAAAACCGGACTGGGCTGCGGTTGTGGAGTCGCAAGCGGATTTTGGATCACGTTCGCGTTCGTTTGTTCCGTGGTGTAGTTTTGATTCGCAAAATTTTGAGCTGGATTCGAGGGCGATGAGTGGTTATTTTGCAAAACGGGGTGAATATTGGCGGTCGGAATCGGCGTTTGGCGATTGGGGGAATGCGTCGCGAGGTGTTGCGGACTCGAGGCGGCTTGAGAAGGCGTCGCAGTTTGGGAATATTGCGAGAGAGGCGGCGTTTGTTGCGTTGGCGGTGGATTCGTGTAGGACGGCCGTCGGTTTGAGGGCGAGGAGTGACGGTTTGACGGCGAGGAATGCTTGCGTGACTGAGTTTGGTGGACATGCTGGATAGCGGGCGTGTTCTGTTGGTAGTTCTGCGGCGTTTTCGGGTTGGGTCCCGGCGTGGCGTGGATGGTGGTGCACTGGTATTGGTTGTTGGATTTGCAGCAGCAGGCGCAGTTGGGTTGGAGGTTGGAGTAAGGCGTGCTGTGGAGATTCAGCGGGGAGGCGGCGGCGGCGACGGCAGCGGCGGGCTTCCGGTCTGATGGAGGAGGCGGGGGCGGGGCCTGGGGTTTGGGCGCTGTGTTGTGATTGGACAAGAAGCTTCCGTCCATCAGCAGAGAAAGTTCGGGCACGGACGGCTCTATCCTGCGAGTCTGAAACAGAAAGAACATTGTGCAGTCAAATGTTGGATCGGCCGTTCGTTTTTCATTAAGTTCTACCTGGTGTTCAAATACTGTATTTTTCTGACTATAAGTTGCACTTTTTTTCATGGTTTGGGGTGTTTCCTTTGACTTGTATATTAAAATGTTGAGAGTGAAGAGTTGAGAGGTTCTAGTCTTGTGTGTGAGTATCTGCTGCTCCTGTTCCTCCTGAACCACTGTCACTTGGTTCTACTGCGCATGTCTCCTGCAGAAAGAGCCTCTGTCCTGTCTGTATCATGTCAGCCGATCGCACCGTTACTTCTGCACCACTGAACAATTTAACATTTACACAAACTTATAAAGACGACTGAAGAAGACTGAACACAAATGTCCCCAAAAAGAAAATCAGATTCTGCAGATTACAAACTGCAAGTCGTGAAATCTGCAGCTGAAAACAAAAATCGAGCAGCAGAAAGAAAGTTTGAAGTGAGCGAGAAACTTTATGACACCGGGAGGATGCACCATGAAACTTTCCTGAAGTCACTGGATGGATGGACAAATCCTGGACTTCAGTGACACCGAAACCATCCTGTCGGGATTCAGAAAGACCCGAATAATTCTAACTGGAGCTGATGAGGAGTCTGACAACAGCGACACAGAAGAGAAAGTGAAGCTTCGTTTACCTCCGGAGGTCGAGGAGTTGTTCAGAAGTGACACCGAGGATGAAGAATTGAATGGATTTAGTGATTTGGAGTGAGATGGAGAGTTTGTTAAACTTGTTCTGTTCTGTTGTTTATGTTATAGTTTATCTGAAGAACTGTTCATATGTGACGTTAACAGTCTGTTCTTCTCTCTTCTATTGTTTTTACTACAACTTGACTTTACACAGGAAATGTCGGTTCTTGGTTTCTGATTTTATCAAAGAAATTTCCCCCAAAAAGTGTGACTTAAACTCCAATACAACTTATATGTTTTTTTCGTCTTCATTACACATTTTTTGGCTGGTGCGACTTATGGTCTGAAAAACACAGTAATTTCTTCCATCATGGTTTGTGTAAATGTCATTCTGTTGCTGGGGAAAAATTATAATGTACTTTTGTATTTTTGCAAACTACTCATTTAATAAAGATAAATACAGGGGTTAATATGTTTTAGAATTTACAGATTTAATTAAATTTATGCATTATTTTTCAGTGAAGCCATATATAAGAGATTCACTTGATTAAAACTAGGAATATGATGTGATAAAAAATAAACTTTAAAAAGGACTCAAACTAAAATGTATTAACTAATGATACAATACAAGAGACTGACCCTGCCCATTAAGGGATTTAAGACTATGATACTCCTCCCAAAACTGTAAAATAGCTTATTAGTAGCACATCAGTAGAATTTTTCATCTGTTATATTTTTTACTGAAACTGCAGATTGTTGATTCATCTGCGCTCCACCTAAATGTGTTCTAGCTCAGCACAAACACTCAAGGGAAACACTGGGGATCAAATCGGACGCCGCACTGACCTGCTGGGCTGAGGGCAGGTGTGGACTCGGGGACGGTCTGGGAGACACGTCCTCGTCCTCCACTCCAGAGTCCTGATCGGTCACAGAGAGCGCCCCCGCTGGAGAGCTGAGGGACAACAAGAGAAGAGTACCAGTCAGTTCAAGATCACATTCACACGAAAAGAACGCAAAAGATGAAAGGTAAGGATAAAAGATAAAACGGTGAGACCTGCTGAAGGCCCTGTGCGCCTTTCTGAAGATCTCCATCTGCGCTGAGCTGCTGTCTGGGCTCAGCTCACACTTCAGAGTCTGACCCTCCACCGACGCCACCTTCTGGACACAACAGGACATGCACGGTAAACACCATACCGTATTTTGTGGACTATAAGTTAAACATTTTTTCATGGTTTGGGTGTTTCCTGCGACTTATACTCTAAACCAGGGGAGTCAAACTCATTTCGGTCCGGGGGCTGAATCCAACCTACTTTGATCCCAAAGGAGTGATGAGTGTGGTCGTGCTGGGACACCCGAATGGATTCGTGTATAGGGTGCTCTGGATTGTGGGGAGCGCAGTCGTTTTTTGATGGGGTTGGAGGCTTAAGAGCGCGTCTAATAGCTCGGAAAATACTGTAGTTTATTTATGAGACAGGGACAGTGCACAGTATACATTAACCTTAACAGGAGAGATGCATTGTGCCAGGTTGTAGCACGAGAGCTCATTTCCACCTGTAGTCCCTGATACATGTTTTTTTTTAGATTTTTAGGTTTCGAGCTGGCTGGCCGTACAGCACTTCAGAATCACACTGCTAGAGATTGAACATGTATTTAAATTTGGCAGCTGAACACATTCTGTACTGTACTGTACAGGAGACAGGAGTCCCTTGGCCAGTCAGGACGCAGCGGGAGGAACGCAATACGCATTCATACAATGTAAAAAAAAAAGGGCATGAAAAATTGCACAAAAAAATAAAATAAAATCTGCAAAACAGCGAGACCGCGAAAAGTGAACTGCGATAGAGGGAGGGACGAGTGTAAACCAGGTCTAAACCAGAACTGACCCAGGTCTAAACCAGGTCTAAACAGCGTGGAGTTCTTTGTCAGTCCTTTTGCCCGCGGTTACCTGAAGGTCTACGAGGGCACATCTCCTGCGTTTCACCGCTGCTGATATCGAGGTGATTTTAGCAAATTTGTATGAAGAAAAACCCACCACTTCAATCCAGGTAAAAAAAAAAAACCATTGTAACGCGCGTTACTCATATTTGTACCGAGTAAAATATTACTATTTTTCCCCTGTAATGCCTTAAATTACTGCGTTACAGCAAAAAGTAACACATTACTGTAATTCGTTACTTTTATAACGCGTTACTCCCAACACTGGTGGTGTGGTACACTCCATTACCTGGTACAGTCTATTACCTGGTACAGTCTATTACCTGGTACAGTCTATTACCTGGTACAGTCTATTACCTGGTACAGTCTATTACCTGGTACAGGGTGGTGTTGTGGTTCCCGGTGAGGAGCTGGTAGCTGAGTTCAGGCCCATTGACTTTACACTGAAAAAACTGAGGAGCTCTGTGTGTGGAGGCGAACAGCAGCAGGAGGAAACACCCGCTCTCTGACAGCGCTCTGGACACACACAGAACAAGAAAAGGACGTTAAAATCTCTAGAAAGTCTAATATGACTGACGGGAAAACCACAAACCGTGCGGAGAGGTGCAGTACTCACCGGTCCTGTATGGAGGCGCTGTAGAGGAAGCGCAGAGTCCAGGCCCACACCTGAGGACTGTGGACGTGAGTCACTCCACTGAACCACCTGAACATAAAAACAACACTGTCTTTACCCTCATCACTAACAAACACACTGTACAAACACACTGCAGGAGTGAACAGTTTGACTCACACTCCGACCAGAGGCAGGCTCAGCGCTTTAGGGTCTGACTCCAACAGCAGCAGCAGCTTCCTGCCCTGATCCATCGTCACAAAACTGAACAAACAACAACAGAAATCATCAGAATCCATGTATCGTTCATTCATTCATTTTTCAATATAAAACCAAAAATAAGAAAATTTAAAAAAACAACTATTTTCTTCGTTATTTGTCTCCAAAACCAAAATGAAAAAACAGATAATGATTCGTTTTTTCAGTTTTCGATTTTGTGTTTAAATGAAAAATGGAAAAAAACGGATAACGACCGTTTCCTGTTTACGTGACATCTGTGACTGATGCATACGGACTGAACCAGGACTGATCCAGGTCCGGGACCAGAGCGGGACCACAGCGGGACCAGAGCGAGACTGAGACCGGGACTGAGACCGAGATCAGACCAGAGGCTCAGAGCCCACGACAGGGCTGGAGCTCGAAGCTGAGGCTCGGACCCTGCAGAGGCTCTGAGTCAATGCTCGGAGTCTGGTTTGGTCCGGGTCTGGTCCCGGACCAGGATCAGTCCTGGTTCAGTCCGTATGCAGCACAAAAGACCAGCACCACAGTCATGAAAGTCACGTAAACAGGAAACGGTCGTTATCCGTCCTTTCCATTTTTCATTTACACACAAAATCGAAAACTGAAAAAACGAATCATTATCTGTTTTTTCATTTTGGTTTTGGAGACAAATAATGAAGAAAACAATTGTTTTTTTTCTTTTCTTATTTTTGGTTTTATATTGAAAAACAAATGAAGGAATGATACAAGGATTCAAAACAACTATTTTCTTTATTATTTGTCTCCAAAACCAGTTGTCCAGGTCTAAACCAGGTCTAAACCATGATTAAACCAGGTCTAAACCAGGTCTAAACCAGGTCTACACCAGGTCTAAACCAGGTCTAAACCAGGTCTAATCCAGGACTAAACCAGGTCTAAACCAGGACTAAACCAGCACTAAACCAGGTCTAAACCAGGTCTAAACCATGATTAAACCAGGTCTAAACCAGGTCTAAACCAGGTCTAAACCAGGTCTAAACCAGGTCTAAACCAGGTCTAAACCAGGTCTAAACCAGGTCTAATCCAGGACTAAACCAGGTCTAAACCAGGACTAAACCAGCACTAAACCAGGTCTAAACCAGGTCTAAACCATGATTAAACCAGGTCTAAACCAGGTCTAAACCATGATTAAACCAGGTCTAAACCAGGTCTACACCAGGTCTAAACCAGGTCTAAACCAGGTCTAAACCAGGTCTAATCCAGGACTAAACCAGGTCTAAACCAGGACTAAACCAGCACTAAACCAGGTCTAAACCAGGTCTAAACCATGATTAAACCAGGTCTAAACCAGGACTAAACCAGGTCTAAACCATGATTAAACCAGGTCTAAACCAGGACTAAACCAGGACTAAACCAGGTCTAAACCAGGTCTAAACCATGATTAAACCAGGTCTAAACCAGGTCTAAACCAGGTCTAATCCAGGACTAAACCAGGTCTAAACCAGCACTAAACCAGGTCTAACCAGGACTAAACCAGGTCTAAACCAGGTCTACACAAGGACTAAACCAGGACTAAACCAAGTCTAAACCAGATCTAAACCAGATCTAAACCAGGTCTAATCCAGGACTAAACCAGGTCTAAACTAGGTCTAAAGCAGGACTAAACCAGGTCTAAACCAGGTCCATGGACGTATGGACTAAACTTTGTGCTCTTGTACTTGTTCTGATTCAGCTCATGATCAGCTCTTCTTGAAAGGTTCATTTCTGTTCTGTCAATTTGACAATTTGAGTATCGATACCTGCTCAAATGAGGATCTAATTTCAGTATTACTTTAAACATGGATTAGTATCAGATTTCCCTCGTCTGAAGTCCCCTGAGCTCTGACAGTTCTGGTTCCGTCCTGACATCAGAGTGTGGTTCTTCTCCTCACCCCTTCTGTCTGCTGGTGGCCGCGGGTCGGGCCGGGCTGGTCAGACTCCGGAGCAGCGCGGTGGGGATCACGTGCGCGGCTCTCACGGGCTCCACGTGCACGCCCGTGGCCGGACTCACGCAGGACCAGGTCAGGCTGAAGCGGGCCGAGTCCAGGGCCTGGGTCCAGACCACGTGCAGTCCCAGTCTGAGGATCTGACACAGGTCCAAGGACTGACGGCCGCTGACGGACTGAAGTAAAACCTGAGAGAGAAAAACGAGACAGAGACACGACAGAAGAGGTAAAACTAAACTCAGAATGAACTCAGACAAACATATTATAACTGAGTGTTTTATGGTATATTTTACCAAATTATTTTGTTACAGCTACAGTTTTGTTGAGACCGGGACTTAGACCGGGACTTAGACGGGACTTAGACCGGGACTTAGACCGGGACTTAGACCGGGACTTAGACCGGGACTTAGACCGGGACTTAGACCGGGACTTAGACCGGGACTTAGACCGGGACTTAGACCGGGACTTAGACCGGGACTGAGTCTGGGGCCAGTGCAGGATCAGGACCAGGACTGAGACCCGAACCAGACCGGAACCAGAACGGGACTGAGACCAGGATTTCGACCAGGATTTCGTAGAGGACTGAGTCCAGGACTGAGTCCAGGACTTAGACCAGGACTGAGTCCAGGACTGAGTCCAGGACTTAGACCAGGACTGAGTCCAGGACTGAGACCAGGACTTAGGCCAGGACTGAGACCAGGACTTAGACCAGGACTTAGGCAGGACTTAGACCAGACTTAGGACTTAGACCAGGACTTAGACCAGGACTTAGACCAGGACTTAGACCAGGACTTAGACCAGGACTTAGACCAGGACTTAGACCGGGACCAGTTTAAGTCACGTAAACGGGATCTGTTATCCGTTATCTGTTTTTTCCATTAAAAATTGAAAACTGAAAAAAACGAATCGTTATCTGTTTTTTCGTTTTGGTTTTGGAGACAAATAATGAAGAAAATCGTTTTTTAATTTTCTTATTTTTGGTTTTAAATTGAAAAACAAATGAATGAATGACACACGGATTCATAAAGTTCCTTTAATTGTCTTTGGCCAAAATATGACAAACGACAAAATATGGCCTTAAAACAAACTTAAAGTTGAGTGAAGACGTGTTGCTCCACTTAAATTCAAACTCTGACTTTTAAACTGGTTTTACATTTTAACTGGTTTCTCTGGATTAGCGCCGAGTTTAATCCTTGTTGATGCCGCTGAGTCGGAGTGAAAACACAGCTGTTCGTGACACGCCCGGACGTTTCCATGACAAACGGATCCAAACAAACTGAATTGAAGCTCTTTTGGTGTTTGGTCTTTCAGAAAAAAAACTAAAAGAGTCTCACCTTAAAGGCCTGGTGCAGCTCTGCTTCTGATTGGACGGGAGCGCTGGGGTCCGAGGTGAACGCACAGGGAGCGCACACGTCTCCCGGAAGAGCCGCCGAGGGAACACGGACGCCGTTCTGGTCCCGACCCGGATCGAAACGGTCCAGGGTGACGGTCACGCCCTCCTCGTCTGCAAAAAAAAAAAAAAAAAAAACACCACAGAGCGCAGATGTAGTGCTGTTCGTTCTTCGTCTGTGAGATCGCGCGGGGAGTCGGGTCTGACCTGAGTCGACGCTCACGGAGCCGAGGAGGAAGCAGAGCGGCGCGGGTCTGGAGCTGTGGCGAATGTGTCTCTGGGCCAAACGCAGCGCCTTCTCCGTCAGCTGCACTCGAGGAGCTCTGAGCCACACGACACAAGAGTCACACATGAGATCAACACTGTACAACAATCACACTCTGCTCCCAGGGCCCCACTCCTTTTCACTGACAACATTTCAAAACTTTTCCATGACTTTTTCATGACCTAAAGTGAATTTTCCACGACTTTACAGCACCCACATGTGTAAAACTGATCAGATTTTTAGGGCTAAATATGAAAAGTTAACTCTTTCCACTCACCTCATGGTTTAGGACAGGGGTGGGTAAACTATGGCCCGGGGGCCGTAAGCAGCCCTTTAAACCTTTTAATCTGGTCCGCCGAACTGGAATAAATTACAATAATAAACCTAGTTGATGTTCTATTTTTCATTCATTTCCGGTGTTTCCCAGCAGATGGCGCACTATATATACAATGAGGTGCGGCGTCTTCTGTTGGCCGCAATGCTTTATGGGAAAGTGTTCTTACAGGAGTTATTCGGATCATGAGTGAAGTAGTTTAATATTACTTCAAAATGAAAGGAAACTATTTCTATAAAATATGTCAGTCCTTCCAAGCAAATTTTTATCATTTTAAATACATTTTTTTTGAAAATCATGTACCTTTATCAACAGTTCAAAGATCGAATAACACAAGATATGATGAAAAGAGTCTAAACAGCTCAAACTGTTAAAATACTCAACTTTTTCCTCTTAAAATGCCTCGACAAGACTTAATCCAAATGATTAAGACTTAAAAGTGTTAGAACTGTTATTTCTTCTTGTCGTCTGCACTGAAATGGAGCAAAGGATCATGGTCTATGTAGTTCCCTCTGTCTTTTTTAGCTATTGCCGCACCATAACACTTCATTTAAGCAAAAAGAGACTTGTAATTCTTTGACTTCAAGATATAAGGCTGCACTGCTTCCATTTTGAGTTGATAAAAATCAAAGACGAAAAATATATAGATGCTGAGTTATAAATCTTAACGCGTGGAACGTCGTAAGAGTCTAGTTTTACTGCATGTGTCGGTGTGTATGTGCGTGACTTTGTGGCGTGGGCTCTGTTTCTCAGTAAGACCTAATCGCTCACAATCCACCTTTGCCTGTGCTGTGCAGTGGAGCAGATCTTTTCACTTATCGTGTGTTCTGGATCTTTCGCGGCAACGTTGTAGTGCGTAGTGCGCTTCCTACATGAGCGTAAATACGAATGTAATGCAGCCGAGCTCTTAAAGGTTGTATGGAGAATTTTTTTTTGTTTCAAATTGTCAGTGATAGATTATAGAGCAGTAGCCTTGTAATTATGATGACCAAAAAAAGAGAATAAAAATTCATCAACTCTACGTGTGCTAAACATTTGCCAATTGACACTGTCGTTATCTGTGAGTGACAGGCTGTCAATCAAACTCCCTACGTTTCTAGTGTAACTGACTTGTGCGGCCTCGTGGTTTACGTACGACTGTCACCAGTCCACAGACGCAAGCTGCACAGACGCTGTTTTCACCACAACAGTAACGGCTTTTTTGACCTATATCTTCCTCGCAGTTGCCAAAGTTTGTTGCTGACAAGTCCAGGAGCAGTTTGTCCGTTTTTGAGGTCGTGAAAGAAGACAAGGGGAAAAGCAGCGAAGCCAAACTAAGGTGATCTTGAAGATTCATTCCAGCGATGGCGCGACTGAAGACGAAGGGTCTAAAGACTGAACCACTGGTCCACAAATTACTCTGGCAGGAAACTTCTGTGTCTTTATTTCCAAGAGCTCTTTCAGGACACAAAGTGATATCCGCGTAATTTTCGGCAACGTGTTGTAGTAGTGCGTGCAACCTTCTCTAGTGCGCTTAACCAACACTGTAGTTAGTTGTTTACAAGTCATGTACATGTAGCGTAGTAGGCGGGAATACGTAATGTTTCAATAATGACAAACAGCGCGAGCTATCTTAACACGTCATGTCCTGTCTTCTGTCCTTCTGGCCCTTCAGTGAAATTTTAGCCAAAAAGTTTGCCCACCCCTGGTTTACGATTATAATTTTTTAACATTCAACTGTCAGTGCATTTATTGTCGTCTCTTTTTAAACAGAAGGCGGCAGACGTTCAGAAATAATTATAATCGTCTAATGAGACCTTAACAGAACGCTGGAGTTGCGTGAAAGATATAGAAAGAGATACTCAAATTCTATGACTTTCCCAGGCCTAGAATATGACATTTTCAATTTCCAGGGCTTTTCCAGGATTTCCATGACTGTGGGAAACCTGTACTACTTATGGGTACATTTTTATTTTATTTTATTTATTTTTTTATATTTTATTACTGATCGTTCTATTTTTATATTACTTATCTTTCTATTTTATTTTTTATTTATATAATTATGTCTTATTTGTCTCATGCTCTTTTTTTGCTACTTATCTAGAATTTATTATTGCCATTTATATTTCTGGGTCCAGTCAAGTGGTAACGGAGGGAAACGGGGGCCGATTTTTGACATTCAAATGTCTCTTATTCAGAAACTAGAGGGACTATTGAAATAAGTAAAGTATCAGAATGTAGGAAAGAGTTACACTCCAACAGGGTCAAGTTAAACCTGTGATATTCTTTCAAGTTGTTGACAAAAAATAAAAAAACTCATGTCGGTAAAGGAGGGAATGAAATATGCAGCACTTTTTGGGCAATAAATCCAAACAGTGATAACTCTTGGTTCTCACTTACATATCCTTAACAAACTGGTTTGAATATTTGCTTCATATAGTTTTCTACCATATGGTACAAGATTAGATTGAAAAACCTCTGACTTTTTGAGTCATGAGATTTTTTATTAAGAAAGGTCATGGTAACGGAGGGAAAATTGTGCAAACAAGTAGAAGGTGCAGGATTTTACATAATTTGTCGCTTTTTTCTTCTGAATACTTTAATATTACTTCAAAATGAAAGGAAACTATTTCTATAAAATATGTCAGTCCTTCCAAGCTAATTTTTATCATTTTAAATAAATTTTTTTGGAAAATCATGTACCTTCATCAACAGTTCAAAGATCGAATAACACAAGATATGATGAAAAGAGTCTAAACAGCTCAAACTGTTAAAATACTCAACTTTTTCCTCTTAAAATGCCTCGACAAGACTTAATCCAAATTATTAAGACTTAAAAGTGTTAGAACTGTTATTTCTTCTTGTCGTCTGCACTGAAATGGAGCAAAGGATCATGGTCTATGTAGTTCCCTCTGTCTTTTTTAGCTATTGCCGCACCATAACACTTCATTTAAGCAAAAAGAGACTTGTAATTCTTTGACGATACGATATCACGATATTTCAGTTATTGTTACATCCCTACTGACTTGCTTAGAATTTAAGAAACATTTAAGTTAGTGTGTATCGCTATGGAGTCAAATCTAATTGTACTACAGGAAATAACAAAGAAAAAGTACACACAATAAATACTGAAGAAACAAAAATGATATTCATATTATATTCGTACTGGTGAGGTAAAAGATTATAATTCTACAGTTCAAACCTTCACAATTTCACAAAGTAGGAAGAGAAAATGCAGCCCAAACCCAAGACCCACCTAAAGAACGTGACGCGATGAGGCCGAAGAAGAGGAAGAAGTGTTTTACCTGTGAGCACAAAGATGGAGGAGCGTTTTGTCTCCAGTCGGGGTCCCGTCCCACAGAGCGCATCTGGATTTAGGGAAGCTCAGCGTGGAGAGAGAGTGTGACGACGTCGGCCTGCGGGGAAAACGCCACACACAAACACGTTTCAGTTTCAGTGCGAACGCCAACAACAAGCTCAAAAAACATCAAATAGGACTAAAAGATGAGAGCAAAGATGATCACTTCACTCCCTCTGGTCCATACAAGAGATTTACAAATAGGGCTGAGCATCATCAAGAAGAAGCCGCCGATACGATACTTATCTCGATACGGTGCACTTTCAAATCGATTCGATACGAGGGATGTGCACCGCCTTGAGTCTGACGATATGATATGATATAGAAACCAGAAGTCCCCCTGAATTGTACCATTTATAGAACAGAATAGAATAGAAAGCCTTTATTGTCATTATACAGTATAATGAAACTGACAATAAAGGCTTTATTAAACTAAATTAATCTATATACATATTTAAAAGAAAAACAATAACTTTTTTAAAACTATATATATTGTATTAATTACATACGCAAGTTGCAATATGTCTCAACTAAGGCTGAATACATTTAAGAAGTTGACGATACAGTGCACTTTCAATACGATACGATACATTTCAAATCGCTTTGAAACGGTTCCAAAAAAATTAAGATAAAGGCTAAATCATGTCTGTGATACAACATTTTTTTGTTAAACCACTTCTTGTGCAAAGTTCATATGAAACAAACATTTTAATCATCAAAACAGTGAAAATGTCATATGTGTTGCAAAAAAAATAAGTTTTCTTCCACTAAACAAGCAACAAAACTGTAGCTGTGTCACAAAATAATTCAGTGAAATGCACAAAAAAAAAATACTCTTGATGATATATCGATACAGCAGCCCATGATATCGATACTGTATCATCACAATGAATGATACGATATATCGATACAGTGGTCCCTGGTTTATTGTGGGGGTTACGTTCTAAAAATAACCCGCGATACGTTAAATCTACAAGGAGTCAGCTTTATATTTTACAATTATTCTATCTGTTTTAGGTCTGTAAAACCCCTCAGCACAAACTCTATACATTTTTCTCACACAGGACAGTTACAATCCTTTTTACTTCCTTCTTAAAACTTATTGCTGCTGTCGTCCTTTTGTTATATTCCTCCTTCTTTATGTAACGAACCGATGATTCGTGGGAGGAACACAATATGCATTCATACACTGTAAAAAAAAGCATGCAAAACTGCACACAAAAAATCCGCAAAACAGCGAGACGGCGAAAAGTGAACCGCGATATAGCAAGGGAGGACTGTATTTCGATATTTTTGCACACCCCTAACATTTGTTCACACATACAAATAAAACATGCAAAAGCTTCCTGCAGTTTTCTAAGTTTCTTGTGTTGTGCTGATTACAAATTATGTTCTTGGCAGGTCAGGAAATAATTAACATTTCTCCTCAAATCCACAGTAACAGATGCTACAGGACATGGGGAACAAGAAAATGTTATTTAAAATACAATTCTGTAAGCAAATGAGGATTATATTGATATTATAAATTGAAAAGAAATGTGAAGCTTTGGGAAAATCTGTAAAAATGACATAAATGAGGCTCGACATTTGGTCTCGCAACATTCAGATTTCATTTTATTATGATATAGAAGCTGATTTTCTAACTCAAAACATCACAATCATATACAACTTTTGTCACTTGAAGACTAGCAGTTACTTTTACTTATGTAAGAGTAAAGTTACTTCAATCAAGGTGACCAGACGTCCCTATTTACTTACTGAGGACAGTCCCAGTTTTGAGTCCTGTGTCCCATGTCCCTGCAGATTTACACAAAACCAGTGATTTGTTCCAGTTTTATACAAGAAATGTCCCTATTTTACACAAATTTGATCTAAACCAGGACAAAACTACGATTAAACCAGGACTACATCAGGTCTAAACCAGGACTATTCACAATTTCTGACGAATCTGATCCCGGCCGACAGTAAAGAGGAGCATAAATTGTCTTTTGTTTTGCCAAAATACAGAAATTCATGTTTGCAAATGAGCATAAAGCAAAAAAATGCAGCGACAGAAGTTCCTCAGATTATGACTGAAGTGAGAATCCACAATCTTACTCGCTCTTTTCACAATTTTATTATTTATACCAAACATCCTGACCTGGGTTTAGAATTTTGAAAATCTGGAAGGAAATACAAGAATCCTACTTGCCCCTGCACACTGATTGATTTGTTTATTTTCGAGTTTGTGCCAAGAGAGAATCAAAAACACATTTCTCGAAAAGGAGTGAAAAGAAGAAAAACTTTGATTAACCCACTTCTATTCTTGACATAGTTTCAAAAATTATGTGGTTTCTTCTGTACACTGACAATTTTAACCCAATTTCTTTCTTTTTTGTATTGTACTATATTGTGTTTTACAGTTATTATTTTATCTCTATACTTTTTTTTTTTTTGTTTTTACTGGTACTTCGTTTTAATCTGTCAAACTACGGACTCATTCTGTGACTCGGTGTGGAATCTGTTGAACACACATTAACTTGGCAACGATCTGTGAGACGTATTTAACTTTTAAACCCTCCAACTCTGACGACAGAATACAAAAAAAAAACACACAAAAAATAACAGTGCACATTAAAAAGGAGTAATGTTATTTTGCTTATGCTTAAACTTAACAAAGCAATGAATGATTTTTACTTATTGTTTTTTACTTATTGTACTTTTTTTGTCTTATTGATTCCAGTCTCTTGTTATTTTTTATTTCTACTTACACACTCGGGTTGGGATTTTGGTATAAATAAAATTATGAAAAAATGTGAGTGACATTGTTCATTGTCGACTCACGTGTGGGTCTGTGGTTCATCTGAGACAAAGACAAGAAGTTCAGCCTGTGGATTTTGGCTAAACAAATGTAATTTATGCTCCTCTGGTTTAGAACTGAAATAGTCCGATTTTAGCCCAAGTTTAGTCCTGGTTTAAACCTGAAACAGACCGGATATAGTCCTGGTTTATGCCTAGTTTAGACCTGGTTTAGGCCTGAAATAGTCGTGGTTTAGGCCTGAAATAATCCTGGTTTAGACCTGATTTAGACCTGAGGTAGTCCTGGTTGAGTCCTAATTTAGACCTGAAATACTCCTGGTTTAGACCTGAAATAGTCCTGGTTTAGACCTGAAATAGTCCTGGTTTAGACCTGAAATAGTCCTGGTTTAGACCTGAAATAGTCCTGGTTTAGACCTGAAATAGATCTGGTTTTAGACCTGAAATAGTCCTGGTTTTAGACCTGAAATAGTCCTGGTTTAGACCTGAAATAGTGGTTTTGACCTGAATAGTCCTGAAATAGTCCTGGTTTAGACCTGAAATAGTCCTGGTTTTAGACCTGAAATAGTCCTGGTTTTAGACCTGAAAATAGATCTGGTTTAGACTTGAAATAGTCCTGGTTTAGACCTGAAATAGTCCTGGTTTAGACCTGAAATAGTCCTGGTTTTAGACCTGAAAATAGATCTGGTTTAGACTTGAAATAGTCCTGGTTTTAGACCTGAAATAGTCCTGGTTTTAGACCTGAAATAGTCCTGGTTTTAGACCTGAAAATAGATCTGGTTTAGACTTGAAATAGTCCTGTTTAGACTTGAAATAGTCCTGGTTTAGACATGGTTTAGACCTGGTTTAGACCTAGTTTAGACCTGAAAATAGTTCTGGTTTAGACCTGAAATAGTCCTGGTTTAGACTTGGTTTAGACCTGAAAATAGACCTGGTTTAGCCTGAGTTTAGACCTGGTTTAGACCCGATATAGTCCTGGTTAAGACCTGGTTTTGTCCTGAAATAGTCCTGATTTAGATCTAAAATAGTCCTAGTTTAGTCCTGCTTTAGACCTGAAATAGTCCTGGTTTAGTCCTAGTTTAGACCTGGTTTAGACCTGAAAAAAAACCTGATAAACCGTGACTGTCCAGAGTAAATAGGGACGTCTGGTCATCCTGGTCTAAGTCTAATCCCATCTAACAACTTTAAACATTATTTTCACTTTCTGGAGTCAGTTTCTCTCTTTTTTTCACCCACCTCGCTCGCACGTTCTCGGGGGTAAACACCTCTTCGTAAACCGCGGAGGGCAGAGCGCGGAGGTTCACCGGGCAGCTCATCCTCCCCGCGTCCGCCCCGAGTCGCGCCTTCAGCGGCTCGTCTCACCCGGGAAACGCCGCTCCCTCCACACGGAACCCCAAAACATCAGCCTCAAATCCAGCGAGTCAAATCCAATATCCACGTCTTAACTTCAACTAGAGCAGCAAAAATGATCCTTAAAAGAGCGAAAATGCGAGTTTGTGGAGTTTATTTGAATTAAAACATGTTAAAATCCACCGACGGCGGAGACGTAAACAACAACAACGCGTCGGCGCAGTTTCGTCGTAGCGCATCGGCGTTTTTACACGTTTCAGCTCAACTTTAACGAATTTTCTTCACATATACGATTAAAATTATATCCAATAAAGTGTGTCCGAGCCGGTGGAAAAGTTTTAATCGGGTAAAAACGTGTTAAAATCCCCGGGAGGACGCGGCGTGCGGAGGATTTCCGAGGAGGTTCGATTGTGGCGCTGTTTTACGGCGGCTCTGGCGGGGCTCCGGGATCAGCCAATAGGAAGGCGAGGATTGGGACACGTGACCAGGGAGCGCCGCGGCTTATTCGTGTGCGTGTCCGGGCAGATCAGGGGCGGGCTGGAGAGTGGAGCGACATCTAGTGGAGTATAGTGGTAAGATAAGGAAATTTTTTTTTTGAAGAAACAGAAAAAGAAAATCAGGAAAAGGTTTTTTAGTCCAGATCTTGACCTGGTCCTGGTTTAGTCCTAGTTTAGACCTAGTTTAGACCTGGTGTAGACCTGGTTTAGTCCTGGTTTAGACCTAGTTTAGAGCTGAAATAATCCTGTTTTAGACCTGATATAGTCCTGGTTTAGACCTGAAATAGTTCTAGTTTAGACCTGATATAGTCCTGGTTTAGTCCTAGTTTAGACCTGGTTTAGACCTGAAATAGTCCTGGTTTAGACCTAGTTTAGACCTGGTGTAGACCTGACTGAGTCCTGGTTTACACATGGTGTAGAACTGGTGTAGACCTGGTTTAGTCCTGGTTTAGACCTAGTTTAGATCGGAAATAGTCTTGGTTTAGACCTGATATAGTCCTGGTTTAGACCTGATATAGTCCTGGTTTAGACCTGGTGTAGACCTGGTTTAGTCCTGGTTTACATCTGAAAGAGACCTGATTTAGTTCTAGTTTAGTCCTGGTTTAATCCTGGTTTAGAATTGGTTTAGACCTGTAATAGTCCTATTTTAGCCCAAATTTAGTCCTGTTTTCGACCTGAAATAGACCTTAAGACCTTAAAACCACAAGAACAAAACCAGGTCCAGTGATGTTTACATTTTACATCACACTTATACTTTTGTGACTTATCAACGCTTCACTTCTTACAAACACAAACTCCTCATCGAACACGAAAACCACACGTCGTCTCGTATTAATCCTGTAAAAACCCCGTCGTCCCGTCGACAGGCCGCAGTCTGTTTAAATCCTACATTATTTAACGTGGAGGAGGTAATTTCCTGAAAAGCGGCGTGTTTAGGAATTATTCATCAGCTTGTTACCTGAGACTGAGCTCGGGCCCCGACAACAATGAGCTCTTTTTATTTTAAACTGACGCCGAGTCCCTAAGAACACGGACGCATCTTAGAAACAAAAATATCGTTTGCGTAATCTTGAGCTAATCGTGTTGGAAATTAGTTTGGTTACTTTAAAATAAATAAACAATAGAATAAATAGAGTTGTAATATAATAGCAGTGTTGGGAAGGTGACTTTTAAAATGTATTCTCCTACAGATTACAGATTACATACACCAAAATGTAGTTTGTAACGTAATCCATTAAATTACTTAAAGTGAGTAATGTAATCTGAATACTTTGGATTACTTGATATTGTCATGTTTTTTAAAACTACGTGAATGTAACAACCACATCCTGAAAATTCATGTTTCTTCAGTCTTTACTTGACCAGATTAAAAATATTATTGATAGAAAAATGATTTTTATATGAAAACACAATTATGTCCACACTACTGTTAGTGTCATATTGTATTAGTTTAGTCCTGGTTTAGTCTTGGTTTTAGTCCTGGTTTAGTCCTAGTTTAGTCCTGGTTTAGTCCTAGTTTAGTCCTGGTTTAGTCTTGGTTTTAGTCCTGGTTTAGTCCTGGTTTAGTCCTGGTTTAGTCCTGTTTAGTTTAGTCCTGGTTTAGTCCTGCTTTAGTCCTGCTTTAGTCCTGCTTTAGTCCTAGTTTAGTCTTGATTTAGACCTGATTTAGTCCTGGTTTAGTCCTGGTTTAGTCCTGGTTTAGACCTGATTTAGTCCTGGTTTAGTCCTGGTTTAGTCCTGGTTTAGTCCTGGTTTAGACCTGATTTAGTCCTGGTTTAGTCCTGGTTTAGTCCTAGTTTAGCCCTGGTTTAGTCCTGCTTTAGTCCTGCTTTAGTCCTGCTTTAGTCCTAGTTTAGTCTTGATTTAGACCTGATTTAGTCCTGGTTTAGACATGATTTAGTCCTGGTTTTAGTCCTGGTTTAATTCTGGCTTAGTCCAAAATGTGAAAACAGTAAAATACCACCGTGTAAACCATTTATTTCAACAAAGTAACTGTAATCCAATTACCACTCACTGAAACAGTAACTGTAACTGAATACAGTTACTGATAATTTGTACTCTGATTACATAACTCCTGGTACATGTAATCTGTTACTCCCCAACACTGTATAATAAAATAACCGTTTTGTATGTAGCATGGCCATATTTAGTGTAATTTTGGCTTCTCACATTGTTTAATTTTACTTTTATTTATTTATTTTGTAACTGTTTAGCAAATTTACTTCAACAAACAAACAAACAGGTTAACAGTACAGCTTTAAAAACACTATAAATAACTCGTATATAGTGTTTTTGCGTTCACATCGTGTAAAAAAAGAGAAAAAATCGTGTCTTTTGCGTTAAAACGGCACTAATGGATTAAACGTAATTGATCTGTTTGATGCGGACAACGCCCACTCATAACGAGCCTTTCTTCCTCTCCGCTCCGGTCCCGCCCACTTCGTCCTCCACGGCCAATCAGCGCCCAGCAAACACTCGTAACCCTTGGAAACCAACCAACGCGGACCAATCGGAGCGCGGCAACTACATCTGGACGCCATTTTGTCACCTTTGAGCAGCGGCGGATGGGGCGCTCTAAAACCCAGGCATTTCGCACGGGGGCGTGTTCGTTTTAGGAAAAATTACTAAAAACAAGAAAAAAACACGGTTAATTCTGTATCTTACTAAAAGGGAAAGTAGGTAAAATTGATGTTTGTGTTATCACAGCAGCATTTTGTGTGAAAATGGTTACTTCAACTTCTGCACAAATAATAAACCACTAAACGTAATTTCAATAATATTATTAATATATGGATCATATTTATTATTATTCTAATGCTCATTTCCTTTTCTCACTTCCTGGAAACACTACAAATGTATGTATTTGTCCACATTTTAGATTATCACTGGACAGAATGAGTCATTATAACTTTTAGATTCATCAAGGAAATAGAAATCAATTAATAACAACATTATGTAAGCTAAAAAGCTGAAATCTTTGTATAATGATATTTCAATATTTTTGCACACTGATAATCAATATAATACAGTTTTTGAACCATTTATAACAGGGGTGTCAAACTCATTTTGGTCCGGGGGCCGTATCCAACCGACTTTGATCCCAAAGGGGCCGGATCAGAAAACTCATGTCATATAAACCCCAAAAATAACAATAAGTTCAAATATTTGTCCAGAGAAACACAAATCTATTACAGAAATCTTTTTTAATTGATGAACTCTTTCTTTTACAAAATTTTATAATATTATGAACAACCTGAAACTTTAAGAAAAACACAATTTCAACACAAAGTTTTAACATGAACTTGTATGTAAATAGGAATAAGTCAATTTTTTTGGAAAATCCTGCACTCGGCTCCACTTTTCTCATGTTGGACATTTTTCTGATGAGGGTGTCACGGTCAACAGTCAAAACGATCGTCCTTTAAGAGCGTTTGGAAAGAGACAAGTCTTCATTTGTGCTGCTCTGGTGGGAGGGGCCACGTACAGAGACGCTGGAGACGCTGCTGTGATAAACACCACAGAAAATTAACAAGATTTTAATAGAAAATATAATTAAACTATTTTAGTAGAAAATCAGCCGAGGGCCAGATTAAAGGTCTTGGAGGGCCGGATCAGGCCCCCGGGCCGTATGTTTGACAACTGTGGTTTAGATAATTCTGTTGTATTTATTTATTGTTGTGATGAACTTTAACACTTTTAAATCTATTTTTTAACCATCAAAACAGTGAAAATGTCAAATGTGTTGCCTAAACAAGTTTCCTTCCTGTAAACAAGCAACAAAACTGTAGCTCTAACAAAATAATTTATTAAAATATACCAAAAAATGGTGCTATATTGATACAGCAGCCCTCTTTACACTTAACAATATGATACATCGATATTTCAATATTTTCGCGCGCCTGCTGTTTGTTTTTATTTATTGTTGTGATGAACGTTAACGCTTTTAAATCTATTATTTATCATCAAAATAGTGAAAATGTCTCATAATTTAGTAAAATATACCAAAATATACAAAAAAACCCAAACAAACAAAAAAACAGCAGCCCACGATCTTTACACTAAACAATACGATACATCATTATTTCACCCCTAATCAACATAACATATTTTTGTTGTATCTCTATTTCTATTTATTTATTGTTGTGATGAACGTTCACGCATTTAAATCTATTTTTTATCATCAAAACAGTGAAAATGTCACATAATTTAGTAAAATATACAAAAAAGAAAAATACTCTTGCCGATATATCGATACACCAGCCCACGATCTTTACACTAAACAATATAAAACAATAATGCGCACCCCTAATCAACATAATATATTTTTGTTGTGCCTCTATTTCTATTTATTTATTGTTGTGATGAACGTTCACGCATTTAAATCTATTTTTTATCATCAAAACAGTGAAAATGTCACATAATTTAGTAAAATATACAAAAAAGAAAAATACTCTTGCCGATATATCGATACACCAGCCCACGATCTTTACACTAAACAATAAACAATAATGCGCACCCCTAATCAACATAATATATTTTTGTTGTGCCTCTATTTCTATTTATTTATTGTTGTGATGAACTTTATCGCTTTAGAGTTTATTTTTAGGCGTTATATTTTGCATTATTCATGTTTTTGTCGCGTTCGTCGTCCCCACCCCCCGGGCCAAATGCCTGGGCTGTAGCTCGTCCCTTGTATTTACCCAGCGGCGGATGGGGCTGTGTTCTGCGGCCGCTGCCTCGGACCTGTTGCTTCGCAGTTCCGCGTTGTGCAATGGATGGGTGAGTTAAACCCCCTTTTTTCCGCCTTTTTCCTCCTTTTTTCCCCACTCCACCTCCGACACTTTCCGCCCGCGCGAAGCACCGAGGCGTGAGGATTTTTTATTTTTTTTTCCCGGGTGATGTTTTTACGCAAAGCGGCTCCGAAGTAGTGTTTATTATATCAGGAAGCGGACCCGTGCGTGCTTAGCCTTAGCATTAGCATGGACACGGGCCATTTCCAAGTCAACGCCGAGCTCCATCCGCACGATCTGGTAGGTACTGTGCACGTATTTAACTGCTACCGGCGATTAAAATAAAGAAAAAACACACTATTCACACGCAAACGCATTTTCCAGGGCACGTATTTACGAGTAGCGCACTGAAGTTGCCGTACACCGCCCACCGCAGTGCGTTGTGTACGAAAACATGGCACTTGTTGATGTCCAAAAACGTAATAAAAACGACTTCACGAGCTTTAAAACATCAGCCGAATTACAAAACACAGTGGTATGATTAAAGTGGCTCGTGTGACCCGCTTTGGTAGCCGCTAACATTTTATTGGGAGTCGTAAATCTTCATAAATATCAGTTTTTTACAGGACGTTTTGTCAGCCACAAGCGGAAGTCACTGTTTCTGCCCCGTGTTAAAGCTCTTCATGTTTTATTAACGACTGACAGATGTAACCCGAGTTGTTCTGGTGTCACTGACGAGTTCTGTGCTCGTTTTAATTAGAACTTCAGTCAGGTTTCTCACTAAAAATCCATCTGGCACCCGCCATGTGATCATGTGTAATTTGATTATAGCCAGATTGACATAGAGAATCAATAAATTTAATGCACCAGCAGATTAACAAGATGTAGTGGAACAAACTATTATTTTTGTTGTCGTTTGCTGACGTAAAGGTTAATAATCGCATTTTAACAACAACCAAATGTAACCAACACTTTTAGGAACATATAAATCCACAGAACGTGAATGTTTTGTTATATTTGTATAAGAAATAACGTTACCTTGTTTATTTTAAGTGTTATCTTTTGTCGTTATTGGATAATACATGTGTTATTGCCATTAACAATGATCTGACTTGACGACTTTTTCATATTATCGTCGTATTTACGCACAAAGGTTGGGTAAATGTTTGCGTTTTGGTGACTTCGGTGAATAGAATTTGGTATTAGGAGTTTCGATTTGCTGTAGAAGTTCAAAGTTCAGGTGCGATTATACTGTAATGCGTATTGTGACCCGAGCTCCGGATTAAGAAGCAGGTGTGAGTGAAATCTTAGTTTGCATACAGGAGAATAAAATATTAAAATGCGGTAGTAGTTGTTGTAGTAGTAGTAGTACGAACATCAGTGCTGCTTCTGTACTCTGAATTCTCTCCATACTTTACTATGACTATCATTTGAGTATATTTATTTATTTATTTATTTATTAGCAATCACTTTTTCTCCACTCTTTTCTAGGGCTGGGTATCATTAAGAAGTTGCCGATACGATACACACTCCTCGATACAGAGGCCACGATACGATACATATCTCGATACAGTGCACTTTCGATTTGATACGATATATTTCAAAACGATTCAATACGGTTCAATAAAAAATGAAGGCTAAATCGTGGCTGTGTTACTAAAAGTCTTTGTTAAACCACTTCTTGTGCCAAGTTCATATGAAACACAAACATTTTAATCATCAAAACGGTGAAAATGTGACGCATAAACAAGTTTTCTCTCACTAAACAAGCAACAAAACTGTAGCTGTAACAAAATAATTTTGTAAAATATACCAAAAATACTCTTGGCGATATATTGATTCTGTATTATCACATTAAACATACGATATATCGATGTTTTAATATTTTTGCTCATCCCTACTCAGTTTGAATACCGTATTTTTCACACTATTAGTCGCACTCTTAAGCCTCCAGCCCCATCAAAAAACGACAATCCACAGCGCCCTATACACGAATCCACTCGGGTGTCCCAGCACGACTTCAGTAAACTACAAAACCGCAAACACGCACGGAGCAGACAGCGACCGCGCGGCGAAAAACACCCTCAGACGCACTCATCACTCCACGCCGACGAGGAACGGAACGGAGGAACGAACCGAAAAAGCGAGCGCGACGTGCCGCTTCTAGACACGACTGAACAACTGAGTCACTGCGAACACGTCGACAATCCGTTGGTCCCAGACACACCCTCCCTACACGCCACAACTGAACAAAGCCCAGAGTCACCGTGAACGAACAAACAAACAAAACCACTCACCCATCACACTGTTGTGTTTCCTTTAAAGTCCAGTGCGGTTTATTTGTGAAAAAAGTTCGAAAATAGACCATTTAATGACAGTGCATCTTATAATCCAGAGAGCCCTATAGTGCAGAAAATACGGTAGTTATTTGCAGGTGATTTGGGTATTTTTGATCTTGCTTCTCTGATTTTACTAGTTTCTTTGGATGCGATAATTACTTAATGAATTTTATTTGACAACGCATTTGTAATTTTGGCACGATCGTGTTGAGTCTGATGTAAACAGTCGGCAGCTCGTCACAGAAGGGGGCGTGGTCTTGGTCATGGAGGATATTCTGTCAAAAGCCAATGGGAAACTTGGGACTTTTTCATTCTTAAAAAACATTTCCTGGTAGATTATGTGAATTTTAAGCACAACTAATTCAAGGCGAGTCACAACTGAATGTTAACAGACAGAATTCCGTCTGCAGTCTTGAACTAAATTACTGTTTCCCATGTGTTTGTGTCAGTAAAAAACCCTAAAGTCTGCTTTTTGTTTTTGTAGTTGTTGGTTTACAGTGGTTGATATATCACCAAGAGTATTTCTGGTATATTTTACAAAATTATTTTGTTACAGAGCTACAGTTTTGTTGTTTGTTTAGAGGAAGGAAACTCGTTTATGCAACACGTTTAACATTTTCACTGTTTTTGGTGATTAAAATGGGCCAGTTTTATTTTAACATTGCATAAGAAATTATTTGATACCTGCTCAAATTAGTATCTAGTTTCAAAGGTGTTTTTTGTCTTTGTCTTTTGTTTTAAAGTAGTAGTAGTAGTAGAAGTAGTAGTAGTAGTAGTAGTACTTTTTACTGCGTCGGTCTTGTCTCGCACTCGAGGTCTGACACTTGACGATAGGGGTGTACAGGGCTACAGTTTTTTTGCATAAACAAGTTTCCTTCCACTGAAAATGCAACACATTTGACATTTTCACTGTTTTTGTTTGCGTTTCATTTTAACTTTGCATAAGAAATGATCTGATACCTGCTCAAATTAGTATCTAATTTCAAAGGTGTTTTTTGACGTTTTGTTTAACAGTAGTAGTTTTCGCAGTTGTTGTAGTAGTAAGTAGGTAGTAGTAGTTGTAGTTGTACTAGTAGTTGTAGTAGTTGTAGTATTTCTTGTTGTAGTTCTTGTAGTAGTAGTAGCCGCTTTTTTTACTACAGTCTTGGCCTCGACTCAGACTCGGTCTTGAAGACGCTTGGACTCGGTCTTGATGGCTCTTGGCGTCGGTCTTGTCTCGGACTCGAGGTCTGACACTCGTCGATACGGGTGTGCAAAAATATTGAATTATGAATAAATCATATCATTTAATGTGATGATACAGTATCGATACCGTGGGCTGCTTTATCGATATATATCGCCAAGAGTATTTTTTGGTATATTTTACTAAATTATTTTGTTACAGCTACAGTTTTGCTGCTTGTTTAGTGGAAACTCGTTTATGCGACACATTTGACATTTTCACTGTTTTGAGAATTTAAATGTTTGTGTTTCATATGAACTTTGCACAAGAAGTGGTTTAACAAAAACTTTTAGTATCACAGCCATGATTTAGCTTTTATTTTTTAATGAACAGTATTGAATCGATTTGAAATATATCGTATCAAATCGAAACCGCACTGTATCAAGATATGCATCGTACCGGCAACTTCTTAATGACACTCAGCCCTAATCAATATATCGAAAAAATATGGCAACTGTTGTTCTTGAGATATGCAAAATTAGATTATCGAGTACATTCTCTAAAATAAAACAATAAAAAATCACAGTAAAGTGCTGATTTAAGATAAAAAAGGAACAGAAACAGTTGGTTCAATCTCCCAAATGGGTATAAAAGTGTATATAGAGGATATTTCTGCATTTTTGTAGGTCATTTTATAGTCCATTCCTGATGCATTGTTCAAATACTGTCTGAATATCCTTAAGTTTTGTCAATATTTCCCTCCCCTCTGTCGAACAGTACAGGACAAAGCAGGTTTTTTGCTGTAAAATGAACGTTTATTTTCCCCACGGAGCTGTTTGAACCTTCAGTTAGTGGGCGTTCCCTCAGAGCCCAATCGTGTTTCTCACTCACATCAACCTAAAATATGTGCAAAGATCCTACAGCGAGGTACGGCAGGGAGTCAAAAGTATCAAAAAATCATGAGAAACTTGAGTATCAAGTCGTATTCCGTAGTATTGAAGTGAAGTTGGAAGCGTGGGTATCGTGACAGCAGTATCCCCTCGCCCTCCGTGGAGCAGATGTCGTTTGTTGGCGGCGCACGTGCAGAGTCTGTGCTTGTGTCTCATGTCCTGAGGCTGGTGTTTCACAGTCAGGCCCAGAACAGCCGGTTTACCTCTGCACAGCGTTCAAGCTCATGCTACACGCTCCTCTGCACACGCCACTCCGGCTCTGTCAAACTCTGCGCTGGGAACGGACGGGAGACGGAAGTCCAGGGCCAACGACATTTCCTTGTCAATCGATATTTTCAATTCAAATCTTTTACCTGTTGGAAACAAATAAAGGCTTTCAGTATGGATTTAATTAATTTTACTACTGACAGAGCAATGGGTCTAGACCTTTACATTTACATGCACAACAAAATCTGACCATATTTATTAGTCACTCTGGAGTATAAGTCGCACTAGCCAAAAAAATGCGTAATGAAGAAGGAAAAAAAAACATAAGTCAGACTTTTGGGGGTGAACTTATTTCATAAAATCAGAGACCAGGGACAGACAATTTGTGTGTAAAGTGAAGTTCTAGTAAAAACAATAGAAGAGAGAAGAACAGACTGTTAACGTCACATATGAACAGTTCTTCAGATAAACTATAACATAAACAGCAGAACAGAACAAGTTTAACAAACTCTCCATCTCACTCCAAATCACTAAATCCATTCAATTCTTCATCCTCGGTGTCACTTCTGAACAACTCAGCCTCGACCTCCGGAAGTAAACAGAGCGCCGCTTCCTCTTCTGCGTCGCTGTCGTCAGACTCAG